CATCCACACATCTATTCATCCATCCATTTATTTATCCATCCATCCACACATCTATCTATCCATCTGTCCATGCATCCATTTATCCACAAATCCATCCATCCATCGATTTATCCATCCATCCACACATCTATCCATCCATCCGTTCATCCATCCATCCACACATCTATCCATCCATCTGTCCATGCATCCATCTATCCATAAATCTATGCCATCCATCTGTCCATTTATTCATCCATCCACACATCTATCCATCCATCCGTCCATTTGTCCAGGCATCCATCCATCCACACATCCACCATTCACCCATCCATCCATCCATCCATCCATTCATCGATCCATGATCCATCCATCCATCCACACATCTATCCATCCACAAATCTATCCATCCATCCGTCCATTTATCCATCCATCCATTCCATTTGTCCAGGCATCCATCCATCCACACATCCACCATTCACCCATCCATTCATCCATCCATTCATCGATCCATGATCCATCCATCCATCCACACATCTGTCCATCCATCCATCCACGATCCATCCATCCATTTATCCATCCATCCACACATCTATCCATCCACTCATCCACCATTCACCCATCCATCCATCCAACCATCCATTCATCCATCCATCCTTCCTCCCATCCACTCATCCATCTATCCCGCATTTATCTATCCATCGATTCCTCACTTGCTTATTCATCCATTCAGCACTTTCTGGAGACAGCCCTGCTTCAAGCACACACTTTGGCCAAGCTCTGAATGCACTGCTTCTTCTAGATCTGTAGCCAGGGACGTTGGTCTGAGGCTTGTCTAGAAAGGCCCCAGCCTCAGTTGCCCCTGGAACCAGTGGGCAGGCATGTTTGGGAGGGTGGGGAGACTGGCAAGCACAGGCATCATCTTGGGAAGGGCAGGCCCCACTGGGCTGCAGAGAAGGTGACCTGGCTGTGCAGCAGCAGCTGTGATTTCTCAGAGAACATGCAAATGTGGGCTTTCAATGCCTGGTTTTTACGTATTAAGTTAACTTCAGAAGTTAACAGACACCGAGCCTACCAAACAGTGCTCATCTTGGGCTGGCTGCTGTTTGCGGCCAGCCTCCACCCTCAGAGGAGAGCAGCAGAACCCTCGTGGCTGGGCACCAGTGTGTCCTTGCCGGGCTCCAGGGTGCAGCTGGTGCCCTCAGACCTCAGGGCCCGCCGGGCTTGCCCCCAACCCTGCGCCCAGCCATGTGACTCCAGGGACCAGTAGTAGAAGACTCTTTGCACCAGGCTTCTGGGGCTGAGGGATGGTGTGCCGCCAGCTTGTGGATGGCTGCCGTGGAGCCCTGAGCCTCTCCGGGCCTCCTGTGCCTCTCCGGGCCTCCTGTGCCCATCTGTGTAATAGTGGGACTGACTGCAGTTTCCACCTGACAGCGGCCATGACCTCAAATGTATGTCAGATCCCATCGCTGCCCTCATAGACACTGCCCAGCCCTGCCCATGGCACCTACCACCAGGTTCAAAGCATGCACTCAGCCGGAGCCCTGCATGAGTCAGCTCTAGCCACCTCTCCAGTGTCTCCTGCCGCCTCCCTGCCCCTCTGCTCCTGGAGCTCATCCAGCGGCTACTGCTTCGGCCTCCGCACCTGCTGGTCCCTCTGTTTCGTGTTTCTGGCTCCTGGCTGCTCAGGTCCTGGGCCTCTGGCACAGCGTCGTCACCCTTAGTCAGGCATACTCCCTGCTCTGTTTTCATCAGCAGCCCCTTGTCCGAAGTTGTCTGGTTCCACTGTTGGGTTTCTGATTCAGTGTTTCACTTCCTGTGTGAGAATGTCATCTGGGAGGGAAGGGGCTGCATCCTCGGTCTTCACCCTTCTCTTCCTAGTGCCTGACATGCAGTGGAGTTCATTTTTATTTATATTTTTTGGTATATATATTTTTAGTAGAGACTGGGTTTCACTTCGTTGGCCAGGCTGGTCTTGAACTCCTGGTCTCAAATGATCCACCCACCTGGGCCTCACAGAGTGCTAGGATTATAGGCATGGGCCACTGTGCCTGGTCTAATTTGTATTTATTTTTTTGGATAGGGTCTTGCTCTCTTGCCCAGGGTGGAGTGATGCAATCGTAGCTCACCGCAGCCTTGACTTCCTGGGCTCAAGGGATTCTCCTACCTCACTCTCCCGAGTACCTGGGACCATAGGTGGTTGCCACCAGGCCCTGCTACTTTAAAAAAATTTTTTTGTAGAGACAGGGTCTTGCTGTGTTGCCCAGGCTGGTCTGGAACTCCTGGGCTCAAGCAATCTTTTTGCCTGGGCCTCTCAAAGTGCTGGGATCGCAGGCATGAGCCACTGCGCTTGGCCTACAGTAGGAGTTCAATAAATGTTTCTTGAATGTTCCATGTTTACGAGGTCTGGCCTTCAGACTTGGCATTAAAGCCAAGTCAAGAGCCTGTTTCTTCATCCCTCAGATGTGTCTGAAGGTCCCCACCTGTGCCCTCCCAGGCTCTGAGAGGACCCACGGAGACCGGAGGGCAGAGGGAAGGGGTTCCTGCGGTGCCGATCCTGGGGTGCTGTTCTCCCGGGGTCCTCCCTAGAGGATCCAGGAAGTGGGGCCTAAGCTTTAGGAGGCTGGCCTGATGCAGGTGGCAAGGTGCTGTGCTGAGGAGAACCAGCATGAGGGGCACCCGATGCCTGCCGCAGGTGGGAAGAGGCCCTGTCTGGTCCCGGCAGTGAGAGGAAGGTGGGCCAGTCTGAGGGCTGCACAAGGACAGCGTCCCCAGCCCGAGCCCTGTGCTACCCTGCTGACATTTTGGTGTTAAAAATATATGTTCTTTTATGAAGCAATAGTGATTATAGGTGGTGTTTCTGAAAAAAAAGATCCCCACTTGCCCAGATGAAAATATTGGCAATCCAAGGTCAGTCCCAAAAGGTTTAGACCCTGCTGAGAAAGTGTGACCACAATCCCCCATCCTAACACACTCACACACACACACTCAGAAGGAATACATGGCACATGTGTGCATGCACACAAGTACACATACACCAGCACACACACAGCACATATGCACACACATGCCAGCATATGTATACATGTGCCAGCGCACACACACACACACCGGCACATACATGCACACACACCGCCACATACGTGCACACACACTGGCACAAATGCACAAACACCAGCACAAATGCACATACACCGGCAAAAATGCACACACATTGGCACAAATGCACATACACATTGGCGCACATGCACATACACTGGCGCACATATACACACATACATTGGCGTACATATGCACACACACCAGCACATATGCACACACCCTGGCACATATGCACACACACCAGCACATATACATACAAACACCAGCACATGCACACACCAGCACATATGCACACACACACCAGCAGCACATATGCACAAATGCCAGCACATATGCACACACACAGCAGCACATATGCACACACCAGCACATATGCACACACACACCAGCACTTATGCATACACACAGCACATATGCACATACAAACACAGGCTAAGGTAAATGTTTGTGAACACTGAGGTGATGCACACTGACATGTTTTTGCTCTGTGTCCACACCCAAATCTCATGTCTTTTTTTTTTTGAGACAGAGTCTCACTCTGTAGCCCAGACTGGAGTGCAGTGGCACGATCTCAGCTCACTGCAACCTTCCGGGTCCTGGTTCAGGCAATTCTCCTGCCTCAGCCTCCTGAGTAGCTGGGATTACAGGAACGCACCACCACACCCAGCTAATTTTTGTATTTTTAGTAGAGACAGGGTTTCACCATGTTGGCCAGGCTGATCTTGAACTCCTGACCTCGTGATCTGCCTGCCTTAGCCTCCCAAAGTACTGGGATTACAGGCATGAGCCACAGCGCCTGGCCCAAATCTCATGTGGAATTGTAACCCCCATGTGTCAAGGGTGGACCTGGTGGGAGGTGACTGAATCATGGGGTGCATTTCCCCCATGCTTTTCTCGTGGTAGTGGATGAGTTCTCATGAGATCTGATGGCTTGGAAGTGTGGCACGTCCCTCCTTGCTCTCTTCTGCTCCGCCATTGTGAAAACGTGTTTGCTTCCCCTTCAGTTTCCAGCATGATCATTAAGTTTCCTGAGGCCTCTCAGTCATGCCTCCTATTAAAGCATGCAAAGGTGTGAGTCAATTAAACCTCTTTTCTTCATAAATTAGCCAGTCTCAGATAGTTCCATTTATTTATTTACATTTTTTTGAGATGGAGTCTCACTCTGTCACCCAGGTTGGAGTGCAATGGTGCGATCTCGGTTCACTGCAGCCTCCACATTCCAGGCGATTCTCCTGCCTCAGCCTCCGGAGTAGCTGAGATGACAGGTCATGCCCAGATAATTTTTGTCTAATTTTTAAAAAAATTTTTTAGTAGAGATGGGATTTCTCCATGTTGGCCAGACTGGTCTCAAACTCCCGACCTCCAGTGATCCACCCACCTTGGCCTCTCAAAGTGCTTGGATGACAGGTATGAGCCACCGCGCCCGGCCTCAGGTAGTTCTTTATAGCCGTGTGAGAATGGATAATACACAGGCAGACACTGCAAACACATAAACACATGCATTCACAAGCACACACACACAGCATATACACGTGCATGCACAGATAGATGCACATGTATGCATATATGCACACACGTGGACATGCACAAACACCTGCATCCACATACACACACAAGCAAATACAAATGAATACACATGTGTGATGTACACCAACATGTAAACACACAGGCGCACACACACACAGCCACTGCAAACATGTGCATATGATAAACGCAAGGCACATGCGAATGAGTAAGCACACACGTGTGCGGCACGAATGCACACACTCCCAGAGAGACGAAGTCCCAAGAACGTTTGGAGCAAGCCACATGCTGGCCCCACAGGAAAGAGAGGCCTGTCAGTTGGTGCGGAGTTTGCGGGATCCACTGGCCTGTGAGTTTCCCGGTTCGACGTCGCACAGACAGCATTCAAGTGAGGGAAGTGTCGTATACTCAAATTTATTTAGACGAATGTCCAGCCACAGTCTTCCCTGGGCTTGTGTACATTCACTTTTTTAAAAAACGGCTTCCATAAAAGGATTTTTGGTAATCGCCTACTTTTTTAATACAATATTTATATACAAAACCCATTTCAGACTACTTCCTGTACAAGAGAAAAGAGAAGCATCAGATTGCATGATTTTAGCAAATATTGGAAATCTGCAACACCCACGAGCTTTGATCGCCGTTGGCAGATCGACGGGAGCGTCAACCTCGCATCGATGAGGTGTTCAAGAGAAATACGCTTATGCTTTTCCCCCTTGCCTTTGCTAAAATGACGTTTCTCCTGGTGCTTGAGAAACTGCAGAGTTGTTTAGTATCATTGCCGCAGATTTACATCACTCAGGTAATTTATGAGACTTGGTTTTATACACTTTTAAAATCATTGTCAACAGCGACATTCCTGTGAGTAAAAATATAGAGAAGTGTTACCAAAATAGAACCCTTTATTAATAAAAATCTTTGGTAGTAACAGTATTTTAAATTTCTCTCAATGATATTTGGTAAATTAATAAACTCCCTCCACCTTTGAGCTACAGAAAACATATCCTCAATCTACCGCATAATTGGTTTTTGAAAAAGAGAATCAGGAATATTCTAAAGCTTCCAGGGGACCCCGGGAAGCCGTAACACTTCTCGAAACCCTGATGCCATCTGCGGATATGCTTCCGAGGTCATCTCTCCCTGCCCACTTTCCGGTCAACCAGTTTTGTTGCATAAGGAAGATGAACAGCTCTGAGGTCAGCTTGGTGCCACGGGGCAGGTGTGTGGCTCACAGCGAGTCCTGCCGGGGACACCAAGAGTGCTGGTTCCTGCTCAGTCAAGGACACCTGTGCCCACTTCTAGCTTTCCAGGAACAGCTGGGATGCTCCCCGCCCCCGTGCGGTCAGCGCTGGGACAATTCTCGCTCTGCCCAGAGTGCCTCAGCCACTGAACTGAGGAAGGAAAAAGTGATTGAAAGTCTAGCTTTCCTGAAACAGGCAGGTGACACCTTTTGGAACCAGAATCCATCATTATTCTTTCTTGCTTTTTCCGTTTCCCCTGAAGCAGCCTTTGCCCGATGCCTTGGCTTACCATTCCGCATCTATCTTAAGGCATTAGGAGGATTGAAAGGAGGGTTTCTAGGGGCCTCTGCTCACTATTCGACGCCAGGGAGACTCGAGTTTCCAAGCGTTCTTTCTGCAAAGCACCTGCCTTTGCTACTTTATAGCTTCGTTACCAGCCATCATTTTGATTCACCTTGAAAACCACAGATTGAAAAAGATTCCCTGCCTAATGGCCTTTGTGCAAAAACAAGGGAAAGAAAACAGAAAGAAGAAAGGAAGGTGTCCTATTAGAAAGTGGTCCTCCACATTTGCCGAAAACCCAGAAGCCTCCGGGCCCTGGTGGGAGCCAGAAGCCGCCTGCCCTGGGAGAGGGTGCCCGTGGGTCAGGATGCCCGGCTGGTTAGCTACAGGACGCCCCCGTGGTAGGCCTGGCTGGGGGCCGGGCTGCCGAGGCTGTCCGGGCAGGCTGTGGGGTTGTGGTGGTTGCACGGCGCCTCGTCCTTCTGCCGCTCCTTCTCCATCCGCCACGTGTCCAGCAGCTGCTGCTTGTCCTGCTCCTCCCGCATGAACAGCTCCACCATGAGCACCTTCTCCTTGTGGATCTGCTGGCTGATGTCCTTGGGGATGTCCGGGATGACCCAGTCCACGAAGTCGCTCATGAACATGACCAGGTTCTGGAAGGAAGAGGGCAGCACATGGCAGCAGGGAGGAGGACGGCACCTGTGGAAGTGCCCCCCGCCTCTCTGCCTGGCCGCCACCCGGTGGAGCGCCACCCCATGACCTCCCGGCCCTTCGACCTCCCCGGGCCTCAGTTTCCCAGCAGGTATGAAGGAGGCCCAGAAGCACCCGGCAGGCCTTTGAGAAATGCTGGCCGACTTTCTCGAGCAAATCTGAACTCAGTAATTGTGGGAAAATTATCTGGGTCCTTCTGAGTCCCTTGACCAGGAGACTCAGGAAGCGGCTTGATGTGCCCCATTGCCAAATCCAGCAAGCATCGAGGCTTTGGGGAAAAGCATGAAACTAAAAATAGCTGCAAATGGATCAGACTTCTACAGTTTAGGAAGCCTCCCAGGGTCCCCCGAACATCTGCCTTCTCCATGGAGACCTTTCTGGAAGAGAGAAGGCAACGTAAGTCAGTTTTTATGGAAAAACTGAAATTTTTTTTATATGGAGTCTCGCTGTTGCCTGGGCTGGAGAGCAGTGGTGCGATCTCGGCTCACTGCAACCTCCGCCACCTGGGGTTTTGCGATTCTCCACCTCAGCCTCCCCAGTAGCTGGGATTACAGCGTGTGCCACCATGCCTGGCTAATTTTTTGTATTTTTAGTAGAGATGGAGTTTCACCGTCTTGGCCGGGTTGGTCTTGCACTCCTGACCGTGTGATCCACCCGCCTCGGCCTCCCAAAGTGCCGGGATTACAGGCGTGAGCCCCTGCGCCTCACCCGAAAAATCGTGTTGTTTGCTGAATGCCCATTCAGCAAGCAAGTGTGAGCACCCCCGGCTGAGCAGGTTCCTGCATGTCACCTCGAATGGTAAGCACCCCCGGCTGAGCAGGCGGTGCTGTGCCACCTCGAATGGTGTCTTCTCCTGGTTGGTGCTCCCAGGCCCCAGCTGTGGCTGGGGTTCGCTGCTCACGCTTACAGCTGCAGAACTTATGTCCCCTCCCATCTCCCTCTTCCCAGCCTTGACAGCTCAAGCAGTGACCAGCCCATCTGGGGCTGCCTTGCCTCCAGGCGAGGCCAGGTCTGGGGTGCCATGTATGCTCTGGGGCTCCCTTGGGATAAGGCCGGGCTGTTTCTGGCCGAGACCCCTCCTTCCCGAGCTCTCAGGCTCTGGTCTGCGGAACCCAGCCCCAGGCACCTTTTGCACGGCTGCTGTGAAAAGCTGACAGATGAGTCTGCTGAGCTCAGGAAGGGGCTGCCCTGTGACAGAGTTGGGACTTGAACCCTGTCCTGGGGGTTCCAGAATCGGAGCTATTGGCCTACTGACTTCCTAGCATTGACTTAATCAAGGTTAGAGGGACGCTGGTGAGCAGAACCCACAGCCCAGGGTGCCCCCCCACACCAGGACCTCAGCCGCCGCTGCACAGCTGGCACCCTAGCCTGGGGTCTGCTCCACTGCGAGTCCCTCTGGCCTCAGAAAGTTGGCTCAGACCCTTTCCCAGAGGCTGGGTCAGTGGGGGCTGGGTCCCATGGCTGCTGGCTGTGTCTGGGGTCACCTGAGAGCCCACTGCTCTCCTGTCTGTCCTGGCTGTGCCTGCTAACACAGACATGGTGTGAGAACGAGACGGGGACAGAGGTGGGGGCCCCTTTCTCCTTGTCTCTTTCTTGCCTTTTTTTTTTTTTTTTTTTTTGAGTTAGGGTTTCACTCTTGTTGCTCAGGCTGGAGTGCAGTGGTGAGATCTCAGCTCACTGCAACCTCTGCCTCCTGGGTTCAAGTGATCCTCTTGCCTCAGCTTCCTAAGTAGCTGGACTTACAGGTGTGCACCACCACACCCCGCTAATTTCTGTGTTTTTAGTAGAGGCAGGGTTTTACCAGGTTGGCCAGGCTGGTCTCAGACTCCTGACCTCAGGTGATCCGCCTGCCTCGGACTCCTAAAGTGCTGGGATTATAGGTGCAAGCCACTGTGCCAGGCCCCTGTGCCCCCTGGTGGCACCCACCTGTAATCCCAGCACTTTGGGAGGGCGAGGCAGGCGGATCAACTGAGGTCAGGAGTTCAAAGGCAGCCTGGCCAACATGGTGAAATACTGTCTACTAAAAGTACAAAAAGGAGCCGGGTGTGGTGGCGGGTGCCTGCGATCCCAGCTACTTGGGAGGCTGAGGCAGGAGAATCGCTTGAACTCGGGAGGTGGAGGTTGCAGTGAGCCCAGATGGTGCTACTGTACTCCAGCCTGGGTGACAAAGAATGAAACTCCAGCTAAAAAAAAAAAAAGAAACTTGTACTGGATTAAACCCACCAGCGAGTCCGAACCCCTCTGCCGGGGCTCATCCAGCCCCTCTCTTTGCCGTCCTCTCTCATGAAGTTGTCTTGGGCCCTGTGGGTGCAGGGGGCCTGTGGCCGGCCAGGTCCCCTCCTCGGGGGTCACAGAGCAAGTTCTCCAAGCCTCTGGAGGAGCCTCTGAACCCGTGGCTCTGGCAGCTCCTGCCTTCCAGACTGTGGGCACAGGGTGGTCCCTCAGTGCCTCCATCCCCAAACCGGAAACACAGAGGGACCCACCGCACCTGGAAGACGATGACAAACGCCAGCCGGGCAGCCAGGACGGCCCAGAAGTCCTTGGAGATGTCGTACTTGTTTTCTGACCATGGAGGCTCTCGGTAGTCTTTGTACCTGCAAAAGACGGTGGCAGAGCTGAGGGTGGGGCTTTGGCGGGGCTCAGCTCTGGCCAGAGCCAGGCAGCTGGAGGGGTGCCCCGGACAGGCTCAGCTTGGTGTGCGGCTGCCTCCAGGAGGGCAGCCCTCTCTTGGGCGAGCAGCCCGTGGCCCTGCACCCAGGGAGTCTCTCTCCACAGTGGAGGGGAGTGGGCAGGACCCCCCCCCGGAACAGGCAGGACCTCACAGGCTTCGTGTAAAACACGTGTGGCAGGAAGTGTTTCCGAGGCCCAGCCATAGGCTCACAGAATCAAGGGCGGAGACCATGTAGATCAGGAGAGTCCAGACTTTTTTTTTCACACAGAGTCTCACTCTGTGGCCCAGGCTAGAGTGCAGTGGCACCATCTCAGCTCACTGCAACCGCCACCTTCCAGGTTCAAGTGATTCTCCTGCCTCAGCCTCCCGAGTAGCTGGGACTGCAGGCACCTGCCACCATGCCTGGCTAATTTTTGTATTTATTTTTTATTTTTAGTAGAGACAGGGTTTCACCATATTGGCCAGGCTGGTCTCAAACTCCTGAGCTTGTGATCCACCTGCCTTGGCCTCCCAAAGTGCTGGGATTATGGGCGTGAGCCACTGAGCCTGGCCAATTCCGAACTTTTAAAAGCACTGGACCCTTTGTTCCCAAAAGAAGTCTCACTGGCAACTCCCATAGGGCCCCAAGAGTGCAGAGCCTACTTGGGTGAAGTGGTGGGGGTTCCCCAAGCTTGAATCCCCGGAACCTCGACCCAACCCCTATGCTCCATAGAACTCCAGGAAGGGTTCCATGGAACCCAGTTTGAAAACCACCTCTCCAGTCAATCCCCTCTTTGAGGGAAACTATTGGAGAGAAAACCATAAGCACCTTATCAGCCAGCTGTGGTGGCTCGTGCCTGCAACCTTAGCACTGTCATCCCAGGCTGAGGAGTCAGAGATCAGTCTGGGCAACACAGTAAAACCCTGTCTCTACAAAAATACAAAAATTAGCCGGGCATGGCGGTGCAAGCCTGTATTCCCAGCTACTGGGGAGGCTGAGGTGGGAGGACCACCTGAGCCATGGAGGTTGAGGCTACAGTGAGCTTTGAACATGTCACTGCTCTTCAGCCTGGGCCACAAAATGAGAACCTGTCTCTACAAAAAGCAAACTGGGCCGGGCGCAGTGGCTCACACCTGTGATCCCAGCACTTCGGGAGGCGGAGGTGGGCGGATCACTGAAGGTCAGGAGTTCGAGACCAGCCTGAACAATATGGTCTCTACTAAAAATACAAAAATTAGCTGGGTGTGGTGGTGGGTGCCTGTAGTCCCAGCTACTCGGGAGGCTGAGGCAGGAGAATTGCTTGAACCCAGGAGGCAGAGGTTGCAGTGAGCCGAGATTGCACCACTGCTCTCCAGTCTGGGTGACAGTATGAAAAAAAGAAAATGCAAACCCAGCAACACACCAAAAAACCCAACAAAACAAAACCCTGAACATTCGATCAAAGTAACTTGAACAGTGTATCAGACGTTTGCGGAAGAACGAAGCTAAGCACACCATTGGTGCCGGCAGGGGCACCCGGGTCTGGGGCGGCTTTTCCTCTTCCTCTTCCGGGGCGGCTGCACCGCCTCACCTCCTTATCTCTAAAGAACACGGCCGCCCTGGTTCTCGAGTTACCAGCTTTAGTTCGATGTGGCGGACTGATTCCGGGCTTGGAGAGTCAAGCTCACTCGCGCCCCTTCCCCGGAGGTCCTGCCACTGACCTTGGCTCTTCGATGGAAATGACTGGAGCCTCAGGAGGGAGGCCCAGCCCGTTCATGATGGCTGCCCGTGCTTCCGTTCTCCCCAGCCCCTTCTGCTTTTCACAGAGACCCAGAGATGCCCAGGGTCTGTGGGAGCAGGGTGAGGTCTCCACCTAGGGCCTCCCTCCCTCCACAGCTCCCCAAACCTGGGGCGTGCCACCCATCAGCTGGAACTCGGCTTGAATGGAGCTGATATCCCCACCCTGCATTGGAAAAGCTTCCCAAAGCTGGACAGAAGATGCCCCCACTAGGGGCAGGGTTTCTGGGGGCTGAGCTGCAGGTATGTCCCCGCTGCTGGTCACTAAAAGGTCAGTCAGGGAGGCCAGGAGAGGGACCAGCTGGCTCTGCAGGCATAGCCCTGCCCTGGACCCACATCCCTGGTGCTCGCCCTCTCGAACTACCGCCTTGATGTCTGTCCCCTGGGTAATCACTTGACCTCTCTGGGCCTCAGTCTGGGCATTCCCTCACTTCCTCATGTCATAAGCATTTATTAACCAACTACTATGTGCCAGACCCCACTCCAGGGATGGAGAATTCCAGGGGATGCCCAACAGATAGGGCCCTTGCCTACAGAGCTTGATTTCTGGAGGGAGCTGGATGGGAGTCTTCGAGGGCCTGTTCAGCACGGTGCTGCCAACCCCTGAGATAGGAACGGGCTGGGCCACGGCTCTGGTGCCAGCTGCTGGGCCGGGCAGAAGTTGCATAACTCCCTTTCCCATGGGGAGGAGCAGCCCTGGCCTCCCAGTGTCAGAAGCTGCACGTGCCAGCTCGTCCCTCTTCACTCTGTGCTCAAGGCTTTGTCTGCTGGCATCTGTCTCCTCTTCAAGTCACAGCACCCTGGTTTTTCTTAGGACCCCCCAATTCTCTATGACTTCACACCCTGGCATGTGACCCAGGCCAAGCCAAGGAGAGACCTCCTCCTGGTGGCAATAGTGGTTCAGGAATGGACATCTGACCCAAGATGGGCCGGTAAGACTCAGTCCCTGACGTTTGCTGACTATTGGGAAACAGGAGGTCTTTCCACAGGGGCTGCAGAGCAGAGAGGATGTAAGCCAGGAGCTGCAGGGGACCCTTTCCACCAGCAAGAGAACAATGCAGACAGAGGAAATCAAAGTGGAGAGGCGGTGCCAGAGTGGAGCCTGATGGCATACTGTAGCTCCTGGATCCAGCCATGCCTGAAGCTATCCTGGGCTTCTTAGTTATAGGAACTGGTAAATCACCTCTAATTTCCTCCCCTCAGGTATCTTTTTATTCATTTTATTTTATTGATTTTTTGAAATTATAGGTAGGGTCTCACTCTGTTGCTCAGGCTGGAGTGCAGTGGTGTGACCATAGCTCACTGTAGCCTCAAAATCCTAGGCTCAATCTATCCTCCCACCTCAGCCTCCCAAGTAGCTAGAACTACAGATGTGTGCCAAAAGTCCTGGCTATTTTTAAATTTTTTGTAGAGATGGGGATCTCACTATGTGGCTCAGGCTGGTCTCCAGCTCCTGGGCTCAAGCGATCCTCCTGCCTGGCCCTCCCAAAGGGCTGGGATTACGGGTGTGAGCCACTGCACCAGCCTTTTTTTTTTTTCTTTTTAAGCAAGTTTGAGTTGTCTCATGACTTGCTCTGATTTGAGCCCCGCCCAAACCTGGGCTCTCCCAGAAACTCAATAAACTTGGCTTTAAGAGTGGGGTTGAGAGCAGTACCTGCAGATCCGCACCTCGTAGCCCAGGTCCAGGGGGTCGTTGGGGGCCGTGCCGTCCTGGAAGTCGCTGACGTTGAAGGACGACAGGGTGTGGTTGACGAAGCCGTGCATGGTCCCATCCTTACTGTACAGGTACAGGTACACCAGGCGCGGGATGAAGTCTGATGTGAAGGAGATCACGAAGGCCTGCGCAGGGGACACGGCAGTGAGGGGGGCCCCAGACTGGGCACGGAAGGGCTGGCCACAACAAGGGTGACCCATCCATAGCCACACTGGGCCCCGGCCACGTGCTGCTGCCCTTGGAGGGGACCGTAGCTGTACAGCTTTGGCCTGCAGACTGAATGGACGCAGGGTCGGGGGTGCTCCTCTCAACCCCCTGGCAGCTGAAGGAGAGCACCTGGGGGCCAGGGACAGCGCACTCCTAGGAGAGAAGGTGCCAGGTGGATGCTGGAAGCCTCTCCCTGGCTGTGTAGCCTCTGGCAAATCACCCAACCTCTCTGTGCCTCCATTTTCTTCTTGTCAAAACAGGGCTAACAACACCCACACCATGTATGCGCCGTGCCTCTGGGCTTGTTGGAGCAGGGAATGAGGCAGGAAGGGAAAGTGCTTTGCAGGCTGTCAAGTGCTCACCCAGTTCATTCTGTTACAGCCCCGGCTGCGGCTGGTACGCTTACAAAAGGGGAATCGGAGGCCCGGCGGCTGCCTCTCATGAGGCTGTGTGGCCCTGGGCAAACCGCCTAACCTCTTTGTGCCTCTGGTGCCGTAACAGTCCCCACGTCCAAGGGCTGCGTGCAGACTAGCGGGCTGGTGTGTGGAAAGAGCTTAGCAGGGTCTAGAACATTCTAGGTGCCTCGTGAATGTCACCTGTTATCTTTTTTTTTTTTTTTTTTTTTTGAGAGACAACGTCTCACTCTGTTTCATTATGTTGGCCAGGCTGGTCTTGAACTTCTGGCCTCAAGCAATCCTCCTGCCTCAGCTTCCCAAAGTGCGGAGATTACAGGCATGAGGTACCGAGCCCGGCCTGTTCTTTTTGCTGCTGCTGTTGTCCTCAGGAGGTGCCCCTGTGTTCTGTAGCTGCTCACGGTGCCCACTTGTGGCAGAGAGGATGCACCTCTGTTCCCAGCCTCACGACCCCAGCACAGTGCAGCCCCTGCCTTGTCCAGGTGGTATAAGGAGCCATCGCCACGTGCACACTCTGCCTGCAGCCTCCCTATCATCCGGTGGGAGCACGTGCCTGGCAGAGGGGTTGCCCGCTGGGAAAGGGCACTGTCCGAGGGCTCTGAGGGGCCCTTCTCTGGGGCTGAGTCCCTGACTTGGCATCCCAGCCTTGCAAGGGCATTGATTGTCAGCTCTGGGGAGCCACCCCGCCGTCCCCCATGTGCCTGGTGTCACCTTTTTTTGGCGGGGACGGTTTGGCTCAGCTGTAGGGCAGAAGCGATGAGAGCCACAGGGCCCCGGGACAGCAGACTCCCTGTGGCTGCCCGGGGTTCTCATGCCTGGGACACAGGGCCCTGGGACAGCAGACTTGGGCTTGAAGTATATGCTGGCAACAGCTGAACACAGCTAAACCCAGGAGATCCAGGCCATGGGCAGAGCCAGGCAGACCCCGATGGGGAAGGCTGAGGGCCGGGCTGCCCTAGACTGCAGTCCTGGGGATAGGAGAGGCCCAAAGGGGCCGCCAGGCTAGGGAGGAGGCTGAGGGGCCTGGAGCACTGATTCTCAGCAGAGCCGCGTGTGAGGCTGACAAGAGCTCCTTTCTCGCTCTGTTTCAGCATCTCCCAAACCTCTACAGAGCAGTCATACGTTTTCGATTAAGGAGAAAAATCAACTTTGTTTTCTTTAAATAAGAGAACAGAAAGATTTCCAGTGAGGAATCTCTTCCTTCGTATCTCTGCCTCTTGTTTATTCCCAGTGGACTTAGGGGCCAAGGTGGGCATGGTAAATAATTATGCTCAAAGCTTGCAGAAAGGCTGGGTGCAGTGGCTCATGCCTGTTGTCCCAGCACTTTGTGGGGGAGGCCGAAGGCAGACCCCCTGAGGTCAGTTCGAGACCAGCTTGGCCAACATGTCAAAACCCTGTCTCTGCTAAAAATACAAAAATTAGCTGGGCGAGGTGGTGTGGGCCTGTAATCCCAGCTACTTGGGAGGCGGAGGTTGCAGTGAGCCGAGATGTCGCCACTGCGCTGCAGCCTGGACCACAGAGTGAGACGCTGTCTCAGAAAAAAAATTTTAAAAATTAAAAACTTGCAGAAAAAAGGTTGAAGAAAATTTGTGATGCCTCCTCAGGGCCCACCCTCCCGACTCCATGTGGTGAAGGGACATTTATAACCAGAGAATCGAGGCACCCTGCGGCCGAACTGTGGCTGGAGGTGGAAGGTCTATGCCCAGCTTCTTCTCTAAGGGGCCCGCGGCCGCCTGGGGGTTGAGCCAGGACTTTCGTTCCGAAGAGGTCCCTGATGTCACTTACATTGATAATCACAGCAAGCTTCCCAATGCCTCTGAGGATATTGTACCAGATTCCTGTGGGAAGAAGAAGTCACAGTTGTAAGGTGCCCTAGACTCTCAGTCCCTGCAGCTACCAGGCAGCAGCCTGAGAGGACCACCCTTTCAGGGGCCAGGCTTGTTCCACCTCACAGCAGTCAGAAGCTGACGGCAACCAGGATCATCTGATGAGGTCCTGAGGAAGCCGGGTCAGTGCCAGGGCCTGGCATGTGCCAGCCCTTTCTGACAAGCTCACCAGCTTCTAAAGAGGGGCTTAAAAACAGCTGGTCCCCGAGGGGTACTGCAGATCCCCAGGAACCTGTTTAAATACTAATTGGCTTAGATGAAACCTTTTTTTTTTTCCTCTAAAGTGTCAAAGATTCAATTGGGGTGGGGGTCCTAAAGCTCTGCCAGAGGATCCCCGTATTTAGGGTGAGACCAGACATGGTTTTGAAGTTGAAGAACAGGGCCAGGCCCCTGGCTGGTGGCACTGAGTCCACAGCAGTGCAGGTCAAGCCGTTCCCCGTCTGGACACCTCCTTGTTGTCTTAACTCCAAGACACAGGGTTGCACCACATCACAGATGAACAGGACAGATGAACATCACACAGCGCCGGGCCTCGTGGCCTCTCCATCCATCTTCCCAGCAGCCACGAGAACTAGCAGGGCCCAGAAAAGAAGCCTCGATGGCCCAGGAAGCAGGGCCTCAGTGTTGCAATTCTGGAAATGGTCCCGTGTCCTGGGCTGACCCTGCCCACCCTGATTGCACCCTCCCATGCCCAGCACTGCTGCATGCAGTGTTGGGTGGGGAGCCTGTCCTGGGCCTGCTCTCCTTGCTCTGGGCTGGCTCTGTGATGGGCGATACCCAGCACTCATCAGAAACGGCCAGGATGGGGCAGGTGGACTTTCTATCTGTGCAAGGGGCTGCAGGGAGAGCTTACATAGTCCTTCTGCCCTAGTAGCGGAGGGGAGTTTCCTAGTCCCTGTTTTTGGGGTGCATGCTGGTGGCCTGCAAAGGCAGCAAGAGTTCAGGCCCCCTGTGTGGCCCAGAGCTAGAAACCACAGGCTCAGGTGAAATCTCCCAAGCAAGGTCTCTCACCCTCTGGCCCCAGCCAGTGCCAGTTCAATGAGACCACAGTCACGATCATCATCAATCAGAAATCCCCACTGCAGGCTGGCTGTGGTGGCCCATGCCTGTAATCCTCGCATTCTGGGAGGCTGAAGTGGGCAGATGACTTGAGGCCAGGAGTTTGAGACCAGCCTGGCCAACATGACAAAACTCTATCTCTACTAAAAATACAAAAATTAGCCGGGCGTGGTAGCGCGCGCCTGTAATCCCAGCTACTCGGGAGGCTGAGGCATGAGAATCGCTTGAGCCAGGGAGACAGAGGTTGTGGTGAGCCTAGATCACGCCACTGCATTCCAGCCTGTGTGACAGAGCAAGGATCTGTCTCAAGAAAAGAGAGAATACCCACTGCAACCCATTGCTGGTGGGCAACTTGAGAAGTGACAGTCACACCCCCCTGCCACCTGTCTCCTGTCCTCAGGTCATAGGGGCCATCGTCTAATCCCAGACGAGGAGTTTACTGTAGCTCTGTGTGGTCTTTCACATGAGTGCAGTGTTCCTGACTTTATTTTTCTGCTGGAGCGGGTGGTGGGGCAGTCACATGGGCTCTGCACACTAGCGGCCCTAGGGCCACCCCATCCTGAAGAAAGCAGCTGGGAAAGCAGGTGAGTGAGGGTTGGATGGCACCACCCTACAAAGTCAGCAGTGAAGCACTCCCTCGGGAGTGGAAACGCTTCCCGCCCAGCTCCTCCTGGCCGGGTGTCGGGGCCGAGGGCCCGACTCAGAGCTCCGGGGAGGCTGCGAGTTGCACATCCTTGCAGCTTCTGTGTCTAGCTCGGGGTCTGGCACATGGGGTGGGTGCTGCTGGGTAAATGTTTGCTGAGTGACTGCACGAGCCCAGGAAGCCCTTTCCAAGTGGACTCTGGTGCCGGAGCAGAGGCTGCAAAGCGGTCCAGGCAGGCCCCGTTGAGGCTGGATGGCCATTTTGTTGTGCTTGCCTACTGTATCAAAAATACAGACTGTTGCTTATAAACTGGGAAAATGTATTTTAAAAAATTGAGGCTGGGCACAGTGGCTCATGCCTGTAATCCCAGCACTTTGGGAGGCTGAGGCTGGTGGATCACCTGCGGTCAGGAGTTCGAGACCAGCCTGACCAACATGGCAAAATCCCTTCTCTACTAACAATACAAAAATTAGCCGGGCGTGGTGGCACATGCCTGTAGTCCCAGCTACTCGGGAGGCTGAGACAGGAGAATCGCTTGAACCTGGGAGGCGGAGGTTGCAGTGAGCTGAGATCACACCATTGCACTTCAGCCTGGGCAAAAGAGAGAGACTCTGTCGAAAAGAAAAAAACATTCCGAGGCTCTCCTTGGCCCTGGCCCTGGCTGGCTGGTGAGTCTTCTTGGCAACTGGCTGTGGTGCCCAGGGGCGCCCCCTGCAGGCCGAGCCGTGCACCGCAGCTCTGCTGTCTGCAGGGGCCTCCTAGCGACCTCTGTCACTGTCACCAGAGGGCCCGTTATGACTGCCTTAGCATCCAAACCCAGACCCCACTAGAGAGTCGAACGTTTCAAGAAATGTGGGAACAAGAACACTGGTCTGCAGCCATGAAGAACTGTCCCAGGCCTTAGTCTCACCTGTGTGTGCAGCCCGCGTGGCCCTGACACTCTGAGTTTGAGGCCTCCCAGGCGGGGTGCTGAGGTGTGGTGGGCCTGGGGTGGGGGCTGAGGTCTTTGGGTGTGGGGGTATCGAGAGAGGTGGCTCCTGAGCTCGGGGCCGTAGAAGGGCAGGACTCAGGCAGGCAAGGAGGTCTGCCCAGGTAACAACCCAACAGGCCCAGAGAGACCACAGGGAATGGGAGGGGTGAGGCGGGATGAGATGGAGCTGGGAGCGGGGTCTTCCCACCTTGGGGGCCGGGATGGAGCCTGTCGTGACGGGTCCGGGGGATATCTATGTCCAGGCAGACAGCTCTCTGTGTGGCCCTGCACATCCGCAGGGTGTGTTTGAGAAATGAAGAACTGGGACCCCAGCCCCAGCCCACGGAATCTACCTCTCCTGGGGTGGGGCTGGGCACCCCGAGTTATTCTGACGCACACTCCAGGGTGAGACTCACTGCTCCGAGGAGCTCTGTAAACCAAAAATAAAATTCTAAGCTCCCCCAACCATCTGAATGGAATCCATCATCTCTGCCAGGGCACCCCCAAGTTAGCCTTGAAGACTGGTTCAGGCTGTGACGGGCTGTGGGGAGTGAGGGGGTCGGACAGGCCTCATTATCTCCTCCTCCCTTCTGGAATTCAGGAAAAGCCAACCAGCATGAACATCAACACAGACCTTCAGTCTGCTAAACACTGACAGCCTCTCTCTTTGAAGCCTGATACCTGGAGGCTTCATCTGTGTCATAAAACCTTGGTTTCCGGCAGGGCGCGCTGGCTCACACCTGTAATCCCAGCACTTTGGGGGGCCGAGGCAGGCGGATCACGAGGTCAAGAGATCGAGACCATCCTGGTCAACATGGTGAAACCCCATCTCTACTAAAAATACAAAAAATTAGCTGGGCACGGTGGCACGTGCCTGTAATCCCAGCTACACAGGAGGCTGAGGCAGGGGAATTGCCTAAACCCAGGAGGCGGAGGTTGCGGTGAGCTGAGATCGCGCCATTGCACTCCAGCCTGGGTAACAAGAGCGAAACTCCGTCTCAAAAAAAAACAACAACAAAAACCCTTGGTTTCCACAACCCCTATCATAACCCATGCTTTCCTTTCTATTGATAGTAACTCAGGCAACTGACAACAGAAATTTTTTAAATAGGCCTGGTGCAGTGGCTCACAACTGTAATCCCAGCACGTTGGGAGGCTGAGGCGGGAGGATCACCTGAGGCCAGGAGTTTGAGACCAGACTGGCCAACATGGTAAAACCCTGTCTCTACTAAAAGTACAAAATTAGCCAAGTGTGGTGGTACATGACTATAATCCCAGCTACTCCGGAGGCTGAGGCAGGAGAATTGCTTGAACCCAGGAGGCGGAGGTTGCGTCTTGCCATTGCACTCCAGCCTGACTTACAAGAACAAAACTCCATCTCAAAAAAAAAAAAATTTACCTATAACCTGGAAGGGACCCCACCCTGTCCCGCCGTTCTGGACCAAACCAATGTGTAGCTTAGATGCATCTGATTGATGTTTCCTGTCTCCCTAAAATGTATAAAACCGAGCTGTGCCCTGACCACCTTGGGTCCACGTTCTCAGGACCCCTGAGGGCTGTGTCATGGGCCATGGTCACTCAGATTTGGCTCAGAGTAATCTCTTCAAATAGTTTACAGAGTTTGGCTCTTGTCATCCATCAGTAAAAGGGGATGCTGTGCTTTTGGAAACTCTTTGGATGGGCTTCTTTTACGAAAGTCCTGTTGGGAAAAACTGCCTCATTTTTACTTCCCCAAGTACATTCCTTGGTTTCTTTCCCTAGGAATTTTTCCCACTCTAGAGGGCTCTAAGCCCCATTTCCCAGAACAGAACAGGGAGGTACTTGCATAAAGCCAGGTGCTTGGCGAGGCCACCACTCCTGCCCACACGCAGTGCCCGGGAGCGGAATGCAGGCTGCGCTTTCCCACTGCCAGGCTCTGAAGAACCAGGAGGAGAACAGGAAGTCGAAGCCAGAGCTGGAGCGGATTCCCACGCATGGGCTGGGTCCCTGCTGTGACCTGCTGGACTGCGGGTTGATCAAGGCACCTGCGCTTTGTGACACGGCTTCTCCCAGTCACCCAGGGCCCCAGGGCCCCAGGTCACAAGGGCCACAGGGGCCCTCTGTCCTCTCAAGGAGCTTGCCTGGGGCCCCTGCACGGATCACAGATGGAATACAAAAGCCTCTTCAGGGAAAGGTTACGGTAAAGGAACCCATAAGCAGAGGCGTGAAAGCACGGCAGATTATGCCTTCAACCGAGCGGACAGGAACCAGGAAGTGAGTGGCTGATCCGTAAGAACAGGGCAAAAGCGAGCCAGGGGCAAAGAGTCCAAAGAGGCACGTGTGCTGGTGGGGACGCCAGTGCCTGCAGAGGGGCTGCAGGAAGCCAGGGCCACTCAGCTGCTGCTCTTTCACCGGGTGGGTTTGCAAGCTTTAGCCAGCTACCATCTGGGGACAGCCAGAGCTTCTGGAAACAGAGGGTCAGATCAAACACACGGCCATCATGATGTGGCAGGTGGCGGGGGTGGGGGGCACTGTCAGGTGCCCGAGCTTCCGGCCTTTGTGAGGACTCAGTGTGGGTCCCACTCTTCTTTTCTCTGGTTCAGCTATACCAACTGGAATGGGATGGCACCCTTTTCTTTCTTTTTTCTTGAATCAGTCTTGCTCTTGTTACCCAGGCTGGCTTGCAGTCGGGTGATCTTGGCTCACTGCAACCTCCACCTCCCGGGTTCAAGCAATTCTCCTGCCTCAGCCTCCTGAGTAGCTGGGACTACAGGCGTGCGCCACCATGCCCAGCTAATTTTTGTATTTTTGGTAGAGACGGGGTTTCACCATGTTGATCAGGATGGTCTCAGACTCAAACTCCTGACCTTGTGATTCATCCACCTCGGCCTCCCAAAGTGCTGGGATTGTAGGCATGAGCCACTGCACCCGGCCCGCCATTCTGTTCTTTACTGCCATGGGACAGAGAGCTGCAGAATTTCCGAGGACTGCAGGGCACACCTGGAGAGCTGTCCCAGGGCTCCCCTTTCGGGGTCTTTGGTGTGCAGGGTGAGGTTTTCAGAGGCAAACTCTATGCATGCAGGAGGTCCAGGGCTTGAGCTCTCTGGTTTCGGCTCTGTTACCACCTGAGCCTCGGTCTCCCATGGGGAAAGTGGGACTGGGGAGGATTTACCCAGGCTTCCTCCAGGGTTCTCTGGAGGACACAGCATGCTGAGGTTCCGAGAAAAGTTAATGTTGGAGGTGGCTCTGCGGCACTGATCTTCAAAGTAGCACTATGCCCACGACAGCCGGCGTGCAGGCTCACCTGGCTCTTGAGAGCGGATGTGCAAAGATGGCCATGGTGACCCGTTTTTCGGTGGCTTCTTTCTTGCCTGTACCACCAGCTAAAAATGGCCTTTTACACTGTTTTTTTTTTTCCTTGAGATGGAGTCTTGCTCTGTTGCCCAGGCTGAAGTGCAATGGTGCGATCGTGGCTCACTGCAACCTCCGCTTCCCGGGTTCAAGCAATTCTCCCCCCTCAGCCTCATGAGTAGCTGGGATTACAGGAGCCTGCCACCACACCTGGTTAATTTTGTATTTTTAGTAGAGACGGGTTTCTCCACGTTGGCCGGGCTGGTCTCGAACTCCTGACCTCAGGTGATCCACCCACCTCAGCCCCTGACAAAGTGCTGGGATGACAGGCGTGAGCCACTGCGCCCCTCCAGCTTCCCACATTTTTGTAAGATGATGTTTGGCCTATAGAAGCCCTACCCAAAATTGTCCTATCACGCAGGTGTGGAATCTTTATTTCCGCAAGGTGAAATCCCCAGTGCATAATTCGACCTTTTGTTTATTCCAATAATCAGGACAAAGGTGCTATTCCAACGAAAACTGTGTGAAATGTGAGAAAATGCATGTGTTTTTGTAATTTTGTTTTCACCCTGAAAATTGGGTCCTACTATAGATTAAGATAGGCTCACCCTTCCTATGAGGGCTGGCTCTGGTGGAGGCCTGCGTGGGGCTCCCATGTCCCTCACCCTCCGGGACACAGTGTCACCCTGTCTCTGCTTAAATGCCTCTGGTAACAGGGAGCTCTCTAACTCACAAGGAAGTCTGCTGTGTTTTTGATATCTCTGACTATTACAAAGTTATTATTTTTCTTTTCCTTCCCTCCCTCCCTCCCTCCCTCCCTCCCTCCCTCCCTCCCTCCCTCCCTCCCTCCCTCCCTTCTTTTCTTTCTTGTTTTTCAAGGTCTCTCTCTTTTGCACCGGCTGGAGTGCGATGGCACAATCACAGCTCACTGCAGCCTTCACTTCCTGGGCTCACACAATCCTCTTGCCTCAGCCTCCCAAGTAGCTGAGACCACAGGTCTGCGCCACCACATCCAGCTAATTTTACTTATGTTTTTGGGGACAGGGTCTCACTCGGTTGCCCAGTCGTGGGCACGGCTCACTGCAGCCACAACCCTCCTGGGCTCACTGATCTTCCACCTCAGCCTCCTGAGTAGCTGGGACTACAGGCATGCATCATCATGCCTGGCTAATTTTTGTATTTTTCGTAGAAACAGGGTTTTCCCATGTTGCCAAGGCTGGTCTTGAACTCCTGAGCCCAAGCTATCCATCCTCCATGGCCTCCCAAAGCAGTGAGATTATAGGAGCGAGCCACTGTGCTCAGCCCAAAGTTATCCTTTCCGCTGCCCTTAAATACAGGCTCTCTCAACCCCACTCTTCTCCTCTGCACGATCGAGGTGGCTGAGTGACTGGGTCAGCGAGCTGGAGTGGGGCCGTGTCTTGGCTTTGATCCCCAAGGCAAGCCGTGTGATGACCTGGACTGCTCTCCCCTGTCTACGGACGGGGGCTCCTTCCTTCCTTTTCTCTCTCTCTCTCTCTTTTTTTTAGAGACGGGGTCTCTATATTGTCCAGGCTGGAGTGCAGTGGCTGTTCACAGACGCGATCCCACTACTGATCAGCACAGGAATTTTGACCTGCTCCATTTCTGACCTGGGCCGGCTCACCCCTCCTTAGGCAACCTGGTGGTCCCCCCTCCCGGGAGGTCCCCATATTGATGCCAAACTTAGTGCGGACACCCGATCGGCACAGCGCACTACAGCCCAGAACTCCTGGCTCAAGCGATCCTCCAGCCTCAGCCTCCCAAGTAGCTGGGACTACAGGCTCGTGCCACTGCACCCAGCCCTTCCTTTTCTCTTTTGTGAACATTAAATGATGCCATGACATGCAACATAGGTGGGCACTTCCTGAACGGCTAATACTGCTTTCCCCTTGCTCTCGCCCTGGCACTGGGCTCTCACAAGTGCTAGAGGTGGGTGCTGTCAGCCATTGGAGAGGAAATGTGTCTCTTGCACCTCCTAAAGCAGCAGGCTGTTGAGACATTCAGATGTCTGGGACTCACTCTTTGCAAACGGCCTCTGTGACCAACGAATCTTGGGAGGGGAGGGTGGGGACCTCCAGGTCTTGCGTCACCTGCCCCCAGGCTCTACCTGTGAAAGGCTAAGTGAAGAGCCCCAGTGGGGACACCTGGCCAGCTCTGGCTCTAGCTTCTGAAGAGCAGCACCCCCCTCCCCAAACCCAGCACACACTTGGAACGGGTCCCCCCAGCCCACGGGGTCACTCACCGATGTCTTTGGCTCTGACTGCCACTGGCCTTCGGAGCTCGGTGACAAACTTTTTGGCATCCAGGCGGATCTCAATGATGTTGTTGAGCAGTGCAAACAGCGGGGCCAGGGGGAAGGAGGCGACAAACAGGGTGACAAAGCCAAACTGGATGACTGCAAAGAGGGCCCAGTGCCAGTCAGTGCCCTGTGCGCCACAGCCACTGCCCCGTGAGCCACAACCACTGCCCCGTGCACTGAGCTGCACAGGCCTGGCGGTGGCCCCACCTCCAGTGAGCCCACCTGCATGGCCCCCACCTGCAGATGCATGAGAGGACCTCTTGGGATGGACCCTCCATGGCCCTGGGTGACCTCCAGGCCAGGAGTGGGCCCAAGGCAGAATTCCAAATTTTGCTCTGAATCTCAGTGTTAGACTCTTGAATAATGGGAATGCTCCCTTATCTATGGCTAATCTCGCTCTGTCACCCAGGCTGGAGTGCAGTGGGACAATCACGGCTCACTGCGGCCTCAACCTCCCAGGCGCAGTGACTCCTCCTACCTCGGCCTCCCGAGTAGCTGGGACCCCAGGCAGGCACCATACGACCGCCTAACTTCTGTCTGTTTTGTGGAGCTGGGGTTTTGCTATGCTGCCCAGGCTGGTCTTAAACTCCTGAGCTCAGTGATCATTCAAAGTGCTGGGATTACAGGCGTGAGCCAGCTCGCCGGCCTACGTCAAATTTTAAAAATTACCAATAGGAAAAGGACCATTGTGAGCTCAAAGGTCTAGCCTGAGGTCATCCCCTTGCCGGTGCTGGGAAGGGACATGGCAGTGGCCCTGCTGCTTCCATCATGGGGGCTTCCTGGGACCCGGGGGACCTGCCAGTATCTTCCAGAGCCCCAAACTTCCCCTGGCATCGGGCCTTCTAGATCTGGACGGGGACCCACTGCCCAGGGCAGTCCCTCGCCTCTGTCCTGTGGCCCTCCCTCTGAGGATCGATTGCCCCACCCAGGAGCCAGCTCTGGGGTTTCTCGGGCTTTGGATGAGGCATCCAGCATGGGGCTGGGTTCCTAGGAGAAGGTCAGGAAAAGGTTGCTAAGGGGAACTGAATAGGAAAGCTGGTTCAGGAACTGCACAGTAGGACCCAGTCCAAGGGCGTTTGGTGCCAGGCGGTAAACAAGGAAGCCGGCAGAATGTCACCCTGTGCTTGGCGGGCTGAGTGTGGGCATTGTTAGCATGTGGGATGGGCCGTGGGGTTGCCCTGCAAATTCTCTCCCTGGGCTGTCTCGCTTGCCCTGGCAAGGGGTTGAGTGGGAGGCCTCTGGTCCCGCCCAAGGTCCCTGGAGGGGACGAAGCATTGCTTATGTGGGGCGGTGTGTGCTGTGCCAAGGCCCGAGGCTGTTGGTCACCCACCAGGGTGGGCTTCCCCACTTCCGAGTGGCACTGCCTACTCTGGCACTAAGGGCATGACCGGGGAGCTGGAGACGCTGCTAGAGCTAGCGCTAGGGAGGGAAGGCGTTGGGGGGTGGGGAGGTGGGGAGGTGGGGCATCCCCAGATGGGCTTGTTCTCCCTATCCATCCACATCCCTGGCTTGGGCCTTCTTTGGAGGAACAGACTGGCAGCCAATGGATGGGGAGAAACCCAGTGGGTGCAGAAATGTGCCTTGGTGGGTGGGGGCAGGGTGGGGCCTGGTGAGCCACTCCCTGTGTATGTGGGGAGGAGGTGCCTGCTCCAGAAATCCCATCAGGAACTCAGGATGCAATGTCCAGCCACTCGGAAAATAAATCCTGAGAAGGGGCTGCCAGTCTCGTGGCTGAGCTGCTTTCTGGGGATCTAGGATTTTTTGTGGAAGGGGCAGCCTTGCAGGGAGTGGGGTCACCTCCCAGACCCCTGGCCACATGGCCAGCACTGAGTCAAACAGCTGGGAGCCGCCCGCCTGTCCAGCAGCCTGACGCTGGTTCAGCGTGGACTTCATTCCAGGAGAAAACAGAGAGGAGCCGCAGAACACCACGCTTAGGAGTCCTCTCCGCCTGAGTCAACTGCAAGGTGCTCCTTGCACAGTTGTCTGGGAGCCAGGAGTGACATGTGGACAGTTTGGCCAACATGTGGGCACAGGCAGCACCTGCAGTGCAATGGAACAGAAACGCTCCCTGCCCTCGAAGGTGCCCTTACCCCTAGGCCTTTGTTAAAAATGCGGCCTGCTTGGCTGGGTATGGTGGCTCCTGCCTGTAACCCCAGCACTTTGAGAAGCTGAGGTGGGCGGATCATGAGGTCAGGAGTTCGAGACCAGCCTGACCAACATGGTAAACCCTTGTCTCTACTAAAAGTACAAAAATTAGCTGGGTGTGGGCACCTGTAATCCCAGCTACTCGGGAAGCTGAGGCAGGAGAATCGCTTGAACCTGGGAGGTGGAGGTTGCAGTGAGCTGAGATCGTGCCACTGCACTCCAGCCTGGGTGACAGAGCGAGACTTCATCTCAAAACAAAATAAATAAATAAATAAAAATGCCGCCGGCCAGGTCTCACCTCAAACAGACCAGGAAGAAGCCTGGGAGCTGGCATTGTAGAGAAGTTGACCTTGGTGGCCAGGACACTGCCTGCTGGGACACCCTCTACAGGAATCTCCCTGACTGCCTTTGCCTATCCAGTCAGCAAACACACACTGAGCACCCACTGTATACCTGGACCTGCTGTAGGGACAGGGCTAGGGCGTGAGGAGCAAGAGAGGGCCAGGCTGCTGTCCTACCAGGGGAGTGAGCAGAGAGATGACAGGGTAAGGCTGTCTTCTGGGGGCCAGGAACCCCAAGCAGGGGAGGGTGGGGGCCATGGCTGAGTGAAGGAAGGGCTTCTCCTTTCAAAAGCAGGGGAGGGTGGGGGCCATGGCTGAGTGAAGGAAGGGCTTCCCCTTTCAAAAGCAGGGAAGGGTGGGGGCCATGGCTGAGTGAAGGAAGGGCTTCCCCTTTCAAAAGCAGGGGAGGGCGGGGGCCATGGCTGAGTGAAGGAAGGGCTTCCCCTTTCAAAAGCAGGGGAGGGCGGGGGCCATGGCTGAGTGAAGGAAGGGCTTCCCCTTTCAAAAGCAGGGGAGGGTGGGGGCCATGGCTGAGTGAAGGAAGGGCTTCCCCTTTTCAAACAGTGTTCAGGGACGACCCCTCTGTTGGGGGACATTCTGAATAGAGCGTGGGACGCAGGGAGAGAGAGTCGTGCAGGTATTTGAGGGAGGGCACATCTAGTGCAAAGACCCCTGGGGCCACCTGAGCTCCATGGGGCTGGGGAGCAGCAAGGAGGCCAGCACGCCCAGAGCGAGTGCAGGAGGCAGGAGGCAGAGGTAAGCAACCAGGTCAGGGAGACTCCAGGGCTGTGCGGGCCACACCTGGCCTCCTGCTAACCCCCGAGAGGTATGCACCATCCTTCGGCATCCTCCTGGCCGGTCACACAATTGAGGGGGTAAGGCCCGATCCCTGGGTCTTTGAGCACCTGCTCTGTGCTGGGGGCAGCTGTAGCCAGCCCACAGGTAAGCAAGTCCAGGCTCCGGCAACTCAGGAGCTCACCGCCAGGAAGGGGAGATGATTCACAGACCCACAGTAGGTGCTTGAAGGCTCTGGGACTGAGAGGAGGGACCTCGGATTGTGGAGGGGTCCCGAGTGAGGCAGGAGCTTGCAGCTTAGCAGGGCTGGGCCCTCGGCTGGTGTGGGAGTCTGAGGGAGGAGGAAGACCTGCACAGCGGAGGCTGAGTCAGGCTGTACTGACAGGACCGTGCCTGGGATAGTGGCTGCTTGACCTGGGCCTCTGGAAGACAGGACTCCATCCAGAGCAGCCATGCCCACCAACCACCGGTCTGCATCTCCCTCCTCCCCACCTGATGCTTCCGGAGGGATGCTGGGCACCGCGGGGTCAGGGGCATCACACCCTGCGGCCCTGCCCCACTCCAGCTGGCATGCTGGCCTGTTTCTAGCCTGCCCCGGCTGGCACTCACTCATTTCCATGTACTCGGGGGTGAGGCCCGCGAAGGGCTCCAGGTTGTAATCCACCTCGTACCGCTGCCTCCTCTTCACGCTCTCCTCGTGGTGGGTGGGGCTCTGCCGCTTCAGCCTCAGGTAGCGGATGAACTTCTTCATCTTCCTGAGAGAAGCGACAGCACGCAGTTAGATTTGCAGGAAGCTGAGTTTGGGGGCTCAGGTCTGGCATCTCTAGTGATTTTTTTTTTTTTTGAGACAGAGTTTTGCTCTTTTTGCCCAGGCTGGAGTGCAGTGGCACAATCTCAGCTCACTGCAACCTCTGCCTCCTGGGTTCAAGCAATTCTCCTGCCTCAGCCTCCCGAGTAGCTGGGACTACAGGCGCATGCCGCCATGCCTAGCTAACTTTTGGTATTTTAAGTAGAGACGGGGTTTCACCGTGTTGCCCAGGCTGGTCTCAAACTCCTGAGCTCAGGCAATCCGCCCGCCTCTGCCTCCCAAAGTGCTGGGATTACAGGCATCCGCCACCATGCCTGGCCTGGGGTGGCTTTTGCCCCATCTTCCCTCTGTGTCCTCCTCCTCTCCCTGCTTCTGGTGCCCCCGTCTTGGTGGAGGCCCTGCGTCCACCCAGACCACGGCAGAAGCCACTGGCACAGCCCTCCACCCCGCCCGCTCTGCCGCTCTGACCGCCTCAGCGCACTCACGGGATTCCGATCTCGAACAGGTTGTTCTGGATCAGCTGTTTCCCCAGCATGATGATGCTGAGCTGGATGCAGAGCTCCATCAGGCAGCCCCCTGGCGCGCACTGTGGACAGAGAGCAGCGTCAGCCCCGCCGCAGGGACACCGGGAGAGGGGCCGCAGCCCTGCAGGGAGGCCCACCCCATGCCATGGGTTGACCTGTGCCCTCCAAAAAAAGACACTCAGGTCCTAATCCTGCTCCCTGGGAACGGGGCCTTATTTGCAAAAAGAGTCTTTGCAGATGTAGCCAAGTCAAGATGGGGTCGTGCTGGGGCAGGGTGTGCACCCACCCGAGGACTGGTATCTTCAGAAGAGGAGAAGGTGTGGGCACAGAGAGTGGGGGCCGTGTGAAGATGGTGGGGGAACGAACGATGAGGACTTCCTTGGCCCCCAGAAGCTGGGGGACGCGAGGCGGGTCCTCCCCTAGAGCCCGTGAAGGGAACTCAGTCAGGCTAACACCTCCGTGTTGCACCTCCGTCCTTCAGGACGGTGAGACTCAATCTCTGTTATTTGAAGCCACCCAGTCTGTGGGGTTGAGTTGTGGCAGCCCCAGGAAATGGACACGCCCCACCTACAGGCTGCTGGGCTTGGGGCTGGGGCTGGGATCGGGGAGTGCATTGCCAGGGAGTAGGCAGGGACGGGGTGGGGCGGGGTGGGGCGGCACGGCGCCTCCTTTTTCCCAGGGCTGCTGCCCAGTCCCATGCACCAGTCACCATCCACCAGCTCTGCACCGCCACCACGCAGCAGGCAAGCCCCACGGGAGGCAGCAGCCACCCCTCTGAGGCCTAATGCCCCTGACTCAGTGGGCCTATGCCACCTTAGGCCAGGGACTTGGCAAGCAGGTGACAGTCAGACACCTAAGTGGGCTGGAAGCTTAACTTGTCCCAGCAAAGGAAACACCAGGGCACAGTAAACCTATTCTGTGTTCCAAATAAAACCTAACATACTCCGAACTTGTCTTGGAGGGCCATGCTTTCAAAGAAAGCAATTACACCATTTGCTTGATTATATAATATGAGAAGTAGAAACGTTCCTTTTTAAAGTTTCCTTTCTTGTTAAAGAACAAGTGTGCTAGTAGCTCTTTGTGAAGCCCTATCCCATGTAGCTGTTAGACACGCCGTGCTCACAGGCACGTGGTACATTCTGTGTCCTTGTACTTTCACCAAGATATCTGTGCTGGACGGGCTCACAGGTATGTCCCAGCTCTCCACTGCTTTTACTTGTTTAGAAAAGTTTTAAAGCCAATTGGGTTTTAGTTTAGATGGTGAGGTCTGGCTCCAGCCAATGGAGATCAGACACAGCAGTAAGGACGACCCCAAATGCGTGAGGGATAAATCTGTGTGTTTTCCTTTGTTCATTGTACTCTTGTGGCACAATGGCTAGTGAGGGTGCCCTTCCTGCAGTCCAGGAAGTAAAAATTGCATGGCTGAAAAATCCTTTGTCTCAGGGCTGATTTTTTTTTGTGGCTCCTAATGACTTCTCTAACCTGGGACAATTGTAACAGGTGATCAACTATGTCATATAAAAAGAAAAGAGCTTTTCACAAGTTTGCAGCAGACGCCTGTTACTATGGAGGAGACCATGTCTTGGGCTGCCCTGGGGCCTGCATCAGGTAGTTGAACCTCTAGGGTTGCACTCCAGACAGCCAGATCACCCTGTACCTGATATCCACCCCATCCTTGATAACTTGTTCCACAGGGTCTTTATCAAGAAGACCCACTCTCTTATTTTCTGACACGCTGAATTACTCTGTGGGTTGGATATGCTGAGACCGGAACCTCCAACAGGCCCTGAAGCCCTGGTTTGGTCTGATGGAGCCCTTGGTCGTGGGACAGAGAGTGGAGCAAGTCCATGGCCATGACTTGTAACCAGACCTTCTGTGGCCAGCATGGCTGGGCAGAAACCAATGGCACCAACCTGGCGTTTGAAGGTAAAGAGATAAGCATCTCAATTTTGAGTTAAAAAAGGTAGCTGAGATCTGTTTGGTGCTCACTGATTCATCTTTTTTCTTTCAAGCCAGACCCTTGCTCTGTTGCCCAGGATGGAGTGCAGGGTTGAAATCTCGGCTCACTGCAACCTCCGCCTTTCAGGTTCAAGTGATTCTCGCGCCTCAGCCTCCCCAGTAGCTGGGACTACAGGCATGCACCACCACGTCCAGCTAATTTTTTGTGTTTTTAGTAGACATGGGGTTTCACCATGTTGGTCAGGCTGCTCTCAAACTCCTGACCTCACCTGATCCACTCACCTCAACCTCTCAGCGTGCCGGGATTACAGGCCTGAGCCATTGCGCCGGCCCTCATTAATTCATCTTAACCAGAGAGAAATATTCAGTCTCACAGAAAAAGAAAACAAAACCAGATGTCATTGTTTTTCTTTCCTTAACTGTACAGCAGCTTCTAGGTGATTCTATGTGAACACACCGAATAAGATCAAAGCCCCCTCCTCCCCCCCACACATGTCAGGAGAATGGAAAAGGTTCCATCAGGACGGAAAGAAACTGCTCTTTGCTGAACAAATCGGCTGCTTCTCCCAAGCGTACAGTGTAGACAAACGGTCAGGAAAACAGAAGGGGCTGCCGGAAATGAATAACATCTCGGTTACCTCTTCCATCCGGAAGGAACGGAAAATGTACACGTAGTCTCCCGGGCGTCCAACAAACCTGAAATGATAGGGGAGGTCGTTAGAGAGACCCCCAAGTGGGGACTGTGTGGCGTGTGAGTCCTGCAGGCGGGACCTCAAGGGTATCCACAGGCGGCTCTCCCTGCTGATCGCATCTGCTAAAAGATGACCACAGTGGCATGGCACTGGTCAGTCACATGATGCGGAGGAGGCAGCCTTTTGGGGGGGCTCTGAGATCAGCCCAGCCAGCCCCTTGCAGAAATGATGGTGGTGGGGGCCTCGTCGTGGGTGGGCCGCAGGCTCCGCCACAGCCTGGTATGGCTCCTGAGGGTCCAGGTTTGGAAGGTTTCACTCCACCAGGAGCTGTGAACAGGGCTCAGGTGGCCAACGGCCACACTTCCACCCCTCCTCTCTCCTGTCCCCACTCTGGACTCCTCCCTACCTGTCATGGGAGTGCCTGGAACTGGCTTCTGGGGTTCTCTGCCTGGACTCCCTGCTGCTGGGGCTTCCCACTGTCTGGAGTCCCTGGGGTCCCCTCTGCCCAGGTTCCTCACTGTGCAGGGCCCTCACTGCCCAGTTTCTCCTCTGCCCAGGGCTCTCACCATCTAGGGCCCTCACTTCCTGGGGCCCTCACTCCCGGGTCCTCACTGCCCAGGGTCCTCACCGCCCAGGGTCCTCACCGCCCGGGGCCCTTACTCCTGGGTCCTCACTGCCCAGACTCCCTGCTGCCCAGGGTCCTGCTGCTCTGGAGCCTCAGCAGGGCCCAGGCCTTCTCCCTGACCCTCATTGGCTGCGGGTGCCATGGTGTCTGCCCTTCCCTGGGCTCCAGGTGCCCCCCACCTGTAGGGAGGGAGAGTCCTCCCCTGGACCTGGGAGAAGTGAGGTAGGGGAAAGGCTGAAGATGTCCCTACCGGCCTTTGAAGAAAGCCACGTAGAAGATGGGGGTGTAAGAGTTCACGAACTTCAGCAGGAAGGCCTTAAAGATCAGCCTCTCCTCAAAGCTCTTCTCCGTCTTTGGAACCTCTGGAGGGAGGGGTAGGAAGACGCTGAGGCAGCGGCTGGGATGGCCCTGACGGCCTGGTTCAGCCTCCGCCGGCCACTGGCACCATCGCTTAGTGGGCTCTCAGAGGTGCGCCAGGGCCTGTGCTCAGGATCTCCGTTCAGAGACAGGGAGCCAGGGCGCAGAGAAGGTACACGACAAGCTGAAGTTTGCACAGCAAGAGGGAGGTGGCTCGAGCCGCCTGAGTCGAGGGCGCGAGCGCCCGGGGTGTGGGCACTCACCGATCTTGGTGAGCCACCGGGCTATGCATCCGTACACCTCATCCAGGAGGATGATGACCACCAGGTTGATGATGACCGCGGTGGCCGTGACCGTGACCCGGATGTTGGACCGCACGGAGGGGGAGGAGTTCATGGCCAAGGCGGCGGCCGTGGAGATTCTGTAGATGATGACGCCAAGGACGATGGCAAACGTCACCGCAATCTGCAGCAGGGGAAGGCGCTCTTGGTTGGGGACCCTCCCAGGACCCACCTGGACCTGCCCCATCTGCTCCCTCAGCCCAGGTGTCCCCCGCCCCTCCTGCTCTTCTGCGTCAAAACAAGGACTGACACTTCTTGGGCACCTGCCAAATGCCAGGGGCTTTCTGCGCACGAATCCACCAGAGATAGATGGACGAGGGGCTGGTTTCTGTTTTGTGGAAGAGGACACTGAGGTTCAGAGAGATTACGTAGACGGACCGGGCCACCCAGCGCAGGAGCTGGGACTTACCAGGCGGGGCTGCCCACGCCTGCAGTTCACAGCGTCTTTGCGCTCCCATCTTCCCAGAGCCGTAGCGCCCTGTCCAAGCAGAGCCCAGGACACAGTATGGCCACGATGCCAGTGACTGGTCCCAGAGCAGGCTGACTGTGGGGTGGGGCTTCTCCCAGAGCAGACGGACTGCGGGTGGGGGCTTCTCCCCCAACCCATGGTGAGCTCAGGGACATCCTCAGATGCTGTGCAGGGCTGAGGCATGCCACCCTCACAACCACCGCCCAGGGACCCTCCCCTGGTAAAGGAGGTGGGTGCAGCCTGGGATGGGGCAGGGCTTTGGGTCTGGCTGGAGGTGCTTCGGGTTGCTTCTCGCAGTCTGCTCGGAAGCCAGCAGCACCCTTCCGGCTCTCTCACTAGAGTGAGCCCTCCTCTTGCCAAACCTACCGTGGGACCAGAATGTTCCATGAAACATGGGCTGGCGGTTGCCTGAGAAACTGTGGTGGGAGCTGGCTACAATGACAAGCTTGTTCCACACACCACTGTCAGTCTGTCTGGGCTCCCTCACCCTGCCCTGCCCTGCCCTGCCCTGCCCTGCCCTGCCCAGGGGTGTGGAGGCTCCATCCTGAGCTCTCACCGAGGACGGACAGAGTGAGGGCAGGGCAGGAGGGGCACACACAGAGCCAGGCTCCTCACCCAGGTGTGAATCCACCCCTCTGTCTTGTCACCCTGTGTCCCCATGTCCCAGGAAATCGCACATTTGCTCCCATGCAAGGGTGCAGAAGGCAGGTCCCATCCTTGCTAGCACGGTCACGGGTGGCTCCCAGACAGGCCCAGCAGGCCTGGGATGGCCTGTGTGTCCCCCAGTTGCAGCTTGGGATGGGCCTGTTCTCCCCAGGGGGAGTCTGCAGCTTTCGGAAATCTAGAAAAGCTCTTATTTCACGTTCTGGGCAGTTACCACTGGCTTCCGCAGGCGTATGCCAGTGACTACATGGTATGGTGACCACACCCTGCCCAGGAAGACGTCTGCAGCCGCGCCACGCCCTGCTGCAAGGCGTAGGGACCACTCCCTGGCCAGTTCTGGGGAATGAGGGCTTTCCTTGGAAAACCCCTCAGTCCTGCCAAGAGGCCCCCAGGATATCTGTCCCTGTGCCAGCGTGCAGAGGTGCGGGTGGAACGCTGGGCCTGTGGGTGACTCAGCGAGGGAGGCCCTCCACCCCAGTGGGCACGTCCCCTGCCCTGCCACGGGGCAGTTGGGTCCATGACAGGCACACCCTGTAGCAGGCTCCCTTCCAGTCTCCCTAGCCCATCTCCCCTCTGGAATGAACCTGCGTCTCCAGGACCAGGAGCCTGCGGGGCACATCCTAGGTGCTCAACTCACGTTTGTTCACGGAACGAAACACCCAAGTTGAGGACAAATCTGTGTCCTCTTCAACCCTATGAAGCCCTTGTGACCAGGGCTTACCAGGACGTCAAGGGCTGGGAAAAGAGCCGGCTAGCTCCATACTCAGTATCCTCTGTCTTTCCCCTAGCATCCTGCCTTGCTGAGACGGCAGCGTGCTCATTCCTTAGCCTCCCTGCAGAGGAGGTGGCCAGGTGAAACAGTTCTGACCAATGAGATGCAAGCAGAGGTGTGGCGAGTCTCCTGCGAAAGCACCTTTTCAGGCAGGGGCTGCCTCCCCAGCCCATCTCTTCCCCTGCCCTTCCCCTTCTTCTGGCCTGGAGGGTGGGAGTGATGTTGGAGGTGCAGCAGCCATGTTGTGACTGAAGGGGACCCACTCCTAGGACAGGCGAGCAGAAGGTCAGAGAGTCCAGTGACTCTGATGGCATCGTGGAAAGACCAGACCAGCCCTAGATGGCCGCCTCCTTCCCATCCCCTCACTGGCCCTTCTGTGACAGTGCTGCTGCTTCTGCAGCAGGAATGGCTGAACCTCAGGCTGGCCTCTGCTGGGTGAGCGGTGGGGAGGCTCCGGTTATCCCCCAGTCCCCTAGCCTGGCGCCTGGCCAGAGCGGACACATCCCCTCAACACGAGGCCAGGTGCCCTCCCATCGAGTCGCCAGAGAGCACAACAGCCCCCAGCCCCCACCAAAGGGCTCCCCTTCTCCGGGTAAGGGGGGAAGAGCAAGCCCCACCACTGAGGCCACCCTTCTCTGGATTTCTTATGTTGGTTGGGGTCCCTGTCATTGTGCCTGAGAGCACAAGGGGACACTGGATCCTTCCGCTGCTTCCATGACTTGGTCGGGGCCCTCAGCCCTTCACTCAACCTGGAGAACCAAGGCAGCCCCCGCCTCTGTCTCTCCAAGTTCCTATAGAATGGCATGGATCTTGGAGCAGACAGTCCAGCTCACACGTGGCTTCCGCAGGCATATGCCAATGACTGCATGGTGATGACAGCCACCGCCTCTGGCTGGTGCCAGAGGAGAGGCTGTAGCCTTCGGCCTCAGTTTCTGTATCAGCGGGAGGGGGATAGTACCAGCACTGGGCAGCAGCAAGGACTGATGAAACGCTCTGGTGTGGCCCTCGGTGCACAGCTGCCAACCTGGGCCCCTGAGTACCAGGCCTCGGGGCCAGGTGGCTGCAGGAGGCTCTGACTTCAAGCTGTGGGGCTGGACGAAGCCAGGGTCATTTCTCACAGGACCACAGCTGGCTCCTCGCACTTGGCGGGTGATGTACACTCAGCTAGCAGGCGGCTGAGGCGGAATCCATTGGGTTTGAAGTCCCCGCTGAAATCCCCTAAAAGCCACAAGTGGTTTGCCCACGAGACACGCCACAGGCTTGCAGTCCCCTGAGTGGCACTATCATGTCCTATCTGCCTGTTATTTATTTAGCGTTTTTTTAGAATTTGAAAAATTTGTTTTTACGTAATTTCATGCTGATGCCCGAATCAGGACTCAAGTTATGTTTTGGTCACAAAATACCCAGGTTCCTTTTCCTTTCTTTTTGAGACAGGGTCCTGCTCTGTCACCCAGACTGGAGTGCAGTGACTTGGCTACAGCTCACTGCAGCCTCGACTTCTCAGCCTCCAGCGACCCTCCCACTACAGCCTCCCGCATAGCTGGGACCACAGGCGTGCACCACCATGCCATCTAATTTGTGTATTTTGGTTTTGCCATGTTGCCCAGGCTGGTCTCAAACTCCTGAGCTCAAGCAACCCTCCTGCCTCGGCCTCCCAAAGTGCTGGAATTATAGGTGTGAGCCACTGTGCCCAGCCAATTTAATGGTTTTCCTAAAAGGGCTTCAGTTTCCTCTTAAATGACATCTTTGAATGACTAGATACTTAAACCATCATGTCTCTCAGAATGAAAGCTGTGCATCAGGGACCACTGGGAATCATCTCATGCACTCCCTGGGTGTGTGGAGCCCCCACTGGGGGTCACTTTGAAACCCTGGTCTCTTCCCATTTTAGGGGTAGTGGTGGGTCTCCCCCACCCACCCACTGCCCTGAGGAGATGGGGCCAACGCACCCTGGGACCAATGGCACCACCGCGCACAAGGCTGAACCAGGGCTTGAGGGACACCAATCCCTTCCTTTTTTTCCTTTTCTTTTCTTTCTTTTTTTTTCTCAACAGAGTCTCTGTCTATTGCCCAGGCTGGAGTGCAGTGGTGTGATTTCGGCTCACCGCAACCTCCACCTCCTGGGTTCAGGCAATTCTCCTGCCTCAGCCTCCTGAGTAGCTGGGATTACAGGTGTCCACCACCACGCCCAGCTAATTTTTGTGTGTTTAGCAGAGACGGGGTTTCACCATACAGGCCAGGCTGGTCTCTAACTCCTGACCTCAAGTGATCCGCCCGCCTCGGCCTCCCAAAGTGCTGGGATTACAGGCGTGAGCCCCCGAGCCTGGCCGACACCAATCATTTCCTTGCGGTTTCTCCTGCCTTCCTCTGGCTTAAACCTTCTGGAACTTACCATGAAGATAATGGAGACCATGTTGGTGAGGTAGGCCGGGAACCGGTCTCTCCAGGTCAGCTTCACTTTGTCAGTCTACAACAGAAAACGACGCTGCTCACTGGCTGGAACCAGCATGGAGAGACGTGTCTGTGTGTCAGTGTGGGTGCGTGTGCGTGCGTGGGCCCAGGGACAGCTAGAACAACAGAAATACGCAGAAAGACCTTCGAAAATGCTCCCTGGCGACTAACCAATGCAAACGCCTAGGGTTCCAAGAAGCACTGGGGGCTTTATCACCTCTGTCACAGGATGACGGGAGTAAGAGCCGTTTCACACCAGGATTCCTCGGTGTACAGGACATTGTAAATGCCAGCTGCCTTTCTAAAGATGGTTAGACCCATGTCTGGGAGAAACGTGGACTTAAAGTCCATTTCTTTCTTTCTTTCTATTTTTTTGAGACAGAGTCTTGCTAGACAGAGTCTTACCCAGGCTGGAGTGCAATGGGGCGATTTCGGCTCACTGCAACCTCCACCTCTTGGGTTCAAGTGATTCTCTTGCCTCAGCCTCCCAAGCAGCTGGGACTACAGGCACCTGCTACTATGCCCGGCTAATTTTTGTATTTTTAGTAGAGATGGGATTTCACCACGCTGGCCAGGCTGGTCTCAAACTCCTGACCTCGTGATCCGCCCACCTCGACCTCCCAAAGTGCTGGGATTACAGGCGTGAGCCACCACGCCCGGCCTTGGAGTCCATTTCTTCAGCTCAAAGTCTCACTTCTAGGTCTAGAAGGTTAAAGATGTCTTCCCAGTGCCACGCAGACCATAATAGTTATTTTTCCTTTGTGGAGCAAGTTGAAACAAGCAGGTAGTATGACAAGTTAAAATGTCGTCTGCGGTGACACACAGCCCAGAGGCTCTTAGAACCCACGGCTGGCTTGGTCCGGAGAAGCCCCAATCACTAACCCGGGATGTTTCAAAGGGGGTGGAATTTTCGACGGGCAAATGCACATATCAGGTCACAGAATGCGGACAGGGGCATGACACAGGAGGCCACTCATTCCAGGGGTGGGTGGCATGCGTGTTAACGAGAAGACCAAGGAACACTTGCAGGCAGTTGTGACAAGCATGTATCATGAGCTCCAAATCAAGCCAGAGCCCCCCGCCCCTCCCCGCCCCGCCCCCGCCCCGCGCACCCACCATAGCCATGCAGTGCCATCGCCACACGCCGGGCTCACTGGGTGCCGAAGGAAGGCAGAGAGACATGGATGTGAAGGTTAAAAAAAAATACAACAGTTTGTTGAGGAAAAACACGGTCGCCTTTGATTGTCTGCAAACAGTCAAGACTCGCGTTGCCAGCAAAATAGAAAAGTACCAATTTCACCCCCGCCATGGCTGTCTTAACCCTCTGCTTCCATTTGTTTGTGGAGTCCTCTGGGATATGCCGGCGCTTCTGAGGGCGGGTGGGGGGAAAGAGAGCACCGTGCGGTGAAGCGGGGGGGGGGGGGGCGGTGCCGCAGACCCCGGGGCCCAGGGAACCGTCCCCGTCTTGGCAGCAGGCTGGCCTCTCCTGGTGCCAGCAGTAAGCTCGCTGCCAAGGCTGAATCGGGTTCTGGGCGTTTTAAACAGATGAGAGATGGCAGAGACTCAGGCTGGGTAGGACCGTCTGTAACGAAGGTGGTGGAGACAGGAGACTCCGGCCCGCACCCTCCCCTGGACCGCATGATGCCCCGTCTCAGTGACGGCGGCGGGATTCCAGCGGGAGGTAGCGGGCAAAGGCGCCAGTCACCACTAGCATCTTCAGACAGCAGGAAGGTAGCCACACCCAGAAGCCCAAGCTCATGTGCCACTTAGGTGGTGGGTCTTTTAAATAAAGGAATTCAGTGCCACAGCTGGGGGGAAATAAACACCACAAAGCAGCCGCTGGGAGCGAAATGAAACGGAGGAGGAATAAAGGAAACGGCCCATCAGAAGCAGACAGGGCCTGGGGGCGCCGCTATGCTCTGCAGAAATCAACCCCCATGCCACTGTCACGTTCATGTCATCAGAAAGCCTGGGCTGAAACCAAGCCACGGGCCACAGAGGCAGAGGGACCCTGGATCCCAGAGGCGGCTTCCTTCCGGCACCCGCTGCCCAGATTTGAGGCTGTGGCTTGGTCAAGTCCCTTGCCTTAAATGGTCATGGCGTGTGCCACAAAACCCCTTTCTCCCCCTTAGGATGGAATGAAATATCCACCTGTGCTCACTCTAAGGGGTTCAACCACGAAGCCACAGGGTGGGCCATCTTGGGGGCCAGACACTGACTCCTGACACATTTCCAGCCAGTCTTGGGGGCTGGGACGTCACCCTGAAAACATGCCAGAAGCTTGCAGGGCCTTAGAGATGGTGGCATCCAGGCCTTTTGCTTCTTCAGGAGGGAATGAGGGGCAGAGGGCAGCGTGCACCCGGGCGTGCCCGTCTGATGCGTTGGGTTGGACAGTCTCTTTATTTTAGGGCGATAACTCCTGATTTTGTGGCTGTATTCTGCACACCTTTGAGTCCCGCTCAGACCCTCGGGGCTGTTTAGAAACACATGATTCCTTCCTGGCTAGAGGGGGACCGAGCTGAACCCCAGATTCTCATTGTATTTGAAGAGCTGGGCCTTGGGAGGAGGCTTTCCAGAGCACCCACTTTACCCTCCAGATGGGATTTTGGCAAGTGTAACCCCTGGCCACTTTGAACCTGTGAGCACTGTCCCCTGACACATTGACAAGGCTGAAAGTGCAGATGGGACACAAAGCTGGGACCTGCGAGAGCCAATGCGGGCATCTCCAGGCTCCGTCAGAGGCTGACAAGGCCAGCAGCCCCATGCCTGCTTGTCCCAGGTCATGTGAAAAACACCATTAAAAAGCCTTGCCGAGCACGGTGGCTCACACGTATAATCCCAGAACTTTGGGAGGCCGAGGCGGGCAGATCTCTTGAGGCCAAGAGTTTGAGACCAGCCTGGGCAATATCATGAAACCTGGTCTCTACTGAAATATGAACAATTAGCTGGGTGTGGTGGCGTGCACCCGTAGTCTCAGCTACCTTCGAGGCTGAGGCATGAGAATTGCTTGAACCCGGGAGGTGGAGGTTGCAGTGAGCCGAGACTGCACCACTGCACTCCAGCCTGGGTGACAGAGAGAGACCCTGTCTCAAAAAACCAACAAACCAACCAACCCAGCAAGCGCCTCTGGAGGTCTGCAAGGGTTCTGGTGGCACACATGACTTAATTTGGTTTTGTTTTATTGAGACGGAGTCTCATCCTGGCCCTGTTGCCCAGGCTGGAGTGCAATGGTGCGATCACAGCTCACTGCAACCTCCGCCTCCCTAAAGTGATTCTCCTGCCTCAGCCTCCCGAGTAGCTGGGATTATAGGTGCCCGCCACCACACCCAGCTAAGTTTTTGTATCTTTAGTAGAGACGGGATTTCACCATGTTGGCCAGGCTGGTCTTGATCTCCTGACCTTACGATCCACCTGCCTCGGCCTCCCAAAGTATTGGGATCACAGGTGTGAGCAACTGCGCCCGGCCACGTGACTTAATTTAAATGAGAGGTTTGGGAAAAAAGAAAAACACTTATTATAAACAGACAACGGCCTCAAGAACACCACAACACGTCTCTCCCTCGTTCTCACAGACCGAGTGAAACAAGGAACTGTCCGTTTGCTCAGGTGCTGGTTTGGCAAATACCAAAGGCTGGTTTGGTATCGTTGTTCAGCACAGAGCAGGCGGAGTGTGCTGTGAAGAAGCTTTGAGGTTCAAAGCCACATGGTTCTTGTGGTTGAAACGCTTGCTGAAATTTGAGATCACCCTCAGGATACATCAAGACGAGAGATCTAGAGCAGGTTTGATAAACTATAGCTCTTTGGCCAAATGTGGCCCCCTGTCTGTTTTTGCAAATAAAGTTTTATTGGAATGCAATGCGTGGAACACAGGCCCATGTATTTACTCTTGTCTATGGCTCCTTTCACTGCTACCACGGCAGTGTTGAGCAGCTGCAACCCAGTTACAGAGCCTGCAGTATTCGTTATCTGGGCTGATCCCGGGTCTACACTGTGGATGACACGGTTTATTCTGGGGAGGTTACCCGCAGCGGCCACCTTACCTCTTTGTTTTTGGACTCTTTCTTCAGAGACTTCTCCAAGACTCTGGCTTCGTATTCAGCTCTAGGATGATCCTGTGAAGGAAACCACGTCGAGACGGAGGCTGTGTTAGTTGTGAGTCTGCGCTCCTCAGAGTCAGCATACTTGGCAAATCAGTCCCTGGATTAGCCTCAGGCACCCTTTGGGTCCAGTTCATAGTTGGCTGCTGAGAGCATTTCCAGTGTAACCCGCCTCACCCCGTTTGTGGTCTGCATGGTGACCCAGGGTGATCCCGCTTGTTGGGAACCCCAGCCCATTGGGAGGGCCACAGAACCTGGCCTCTGTGTCCTCTTAGAGGTGGACAAGCCTGTGCCAGGCTGCAGCGAACACCCAGCCATGAACTGGCCCTGAGAACATTCTAGGGAGGAGCTGTGGGTCAGAAGAGACGCAGTAAGTGTCGGCAAGCGTGGGCAGCCCGGAGGTGCCAGGCCTTGGAGAGCTGAGAGCGGGCCAGCGAAGGGCACTGGAAGGTAAGAGCGGGTTAGGAGAGACCGAGGTGGGAAGAAAGCAGAGACCCCGCCTGCAGGGAGAAACCACAGGAACTGCACGGTAGAAAGAGATTAGGTGCCAGGGAAGGCCCTCTCCCAGGGAGACAGGCCATGGGAAGATAGAGGAGCGAGCGACAAAAAATTCCAAACCTTGACAGCCTCCTTCAGGGAACCAGAAAAGTAAAAACGAAAACACAAAGATGTCATTACTTAGGTTGTTATTTTAGAAACAGGGCCTGTCCGCTAAAGACAGTTTTCTTAACAACTAGGATGGAGGCAAACAGGGGCAGGTGAGCCAGGACGGGTGTGACCCCTGGGTTCCATGAAAGTGCACTGCTGCTTGAGGGTCACCGTGGGCTGTGGCCTTTGTAGCTCCCATGGTTTTGGACATTCCCCAAATTTCCAAATTTCAGTGCTGGACTGAAATGTCTCAGACTCAGCTGAGGCACACAGGGGCCACATGATGGGACACCACTGTCCTTCTGCTTCACCGCCAGAGTCTGGGGTTCAGGCTGTGTGGAGGGGTGGCCTGAGATTACTCCTAAAGGAGGCCCTGCCCAGCTGTTGGGGGGTGTGAGTGGCTCACTCTGGGAAATCCATTCAGGCCCCTTGGCACCGTGTCCCCAGTGACTTCGGTCGTCACCTCCATAATCAAGCTCCCAAGTCATCGGTGTCAGGAGATCAGGGAATGGGACCCCAAGGGGTTGAACAAAGGAGACTGGCCCTCCCCCCAAACTTTCGCCCAGCCACAGGGACATCACAGAAAGGACATTTGAAATCGACTTCTGAATAAGACGACAACTGCTTTTTCTTTCTATTTGAATCTTTCTAACTGAAACAGCAAGAAAAGAGACCACCCTGAGGGCCCCTGAGGGCCCCGTTGTGGACAAGGCTCTGGGCTGGGTCCCAGCGCTGCCCTGCAGAGACCACCCTGAGGGCCCCGTTGTGGACAAGGCTCTGGGCTGGGTCCCGGCCCCGCCCTGCAGAGACCACCCTGAGGGCCCCGTTGTGGACAAGGCTCTGGGCTGGGTCCCGGCCCTGCCCTGCAGAGCTGTGTGCCATGGGCAGGCTGTGTTGGTCTCTGTCTGGTCATTTGTGGACAGGATCATGAGACTGGCCGAGGAAGAGTGGGGAGGCTGTTGTGTGGGCAAGTAAAGGTGTGGCCCAGTGGCCACCAGCTGGGCAGCCATTTACGGGGCACTGACTCTGTGCTGGGCTGGGATCTAAGTGCTTCATATATATTGACCCATTGAGACCCCATAAATGCTATCAAGTGAGGACACTTTGGTACAGAGATGTTAAGCAATTTTTCTGGGGTCACACAGCAAGGCTGGTGCCAAATCTGGATGGAACCCAGGCAGCCTAGCCCCAGAGGCCCGTCTTGTACCCTCTGAGCTGCTGTGCCTCGCCCGGAAAACTCTAATATCCTCGCCTGTCGACAGTATTGTCAGCCCCGAGCTGCCACAGTTTTCTAAAGAGTGACCCTTGGATTCAGTCTGAGAGGGAGCAGATTGTGTGAGAAAATACAATATAAAAGTTAAAATTTTTTTAAAGAAAAAAAAATCCTTTAAACGAAAAATGCCTTTTAAAGGAAATGTTCACATTGCAATAAAAATGCATGAAAGTTTCTCTTTTTAAAAGGGAGCATGTGCAGTGCAACCCGGGCAACAAGGCAAGACCCGAACTCTTACCAAAAATCAAACCATTAGCCAGGCGTGCTTGTATGTGCCTGTGGCCCCAGCTACCCGGGAGGCTGAAGTGGGAGGTTGGCTTGAGCCCGGGAGGTTGAGGCTGCAGTGAGCTGTGGTCATGCCATTGCACTCCAGCTTAGGTGACAGAGGGAGACCCTGTCTCCAAAAACAGGGGGAGCTTGTTTAAATTAAATAGTGGGGCCGGGCACGATGGCTCACGCCTGTAATCCCATCACCTTGGGAGGCCGAGGCGGGTGAATCACGAAGTCAAGAGATCGAGACCATCCTGGTCAACATGGTGAAACCCCGTCTCTACTAAAAATACAAAAAATTAGCTGGACATGGTGGCGTGTGCCTGTAATCCCAGCTACTCAGGAGGCTGAGGCAGGAGAATTGCCTGAACCCAGGAGGTGGAGGTTGCGGTGAGCCGAGATCGCGCCATTGCACTCCAGCCTGGGTGACAAGAGCGAAACTCCATCTCAAAAAAAAAAAAAAAAATTAAATAGCGATCTGGTGGTTGCACCTTACAGCGTGTGCATGGGGTCGCCTCTGTTGTGCTCCAAGGCCGATTGCGGGGACTGTTACTCCTCTTCATTCCCACTGACCCTGAAGGGAATTGCTGTGGGACTTGGGATCCCTGGGAGTGCGGGTCACCTGGCATCCCAGGGGACACGTAATACTGAACGTCCCTCTCTCTGGAGCAGGCAGATGCCTGGCACTGCCTTTCCCTCTACGTTGGTAAAGGACCCGTCCCCACTTGTCAGCCACGCCTGGCTGCCGGCACAGAGCTGGCTCTGGGGAAGGTCGAGGAGGCAAGAGCTCACGGCCACTTTTGGAGATCCCCGGGCAGCGTCCATTCCCTCTCCACCCCCACGGGTGGTGCCGACAGCCCGGGCAGCCCCCAGAAACAATAAAGTCAGTGTGGTGGGCCCTGGCATGAGCCCGAGACCACGCTGGTAGCTGGTATGCCATGTGAGCGTGGGGATGAAAACACTTCAGCAGACAGGGAGCGGTCACTCCAGCCACGGAGGGCATTCGGAATGCCAGGGCAATAAGCGGCGAGGCAGATGGGGGGTGGGGGGTGGGCGGCCTTGCCTCGCCTTGGACCAGAGGCGCTTTTTGACCTTGGGCTTCCGTGTGAGTCCTAAGGAGGTCCTGGGGCAGGGGAAAGGGGGAAGGGTGTGCCGTGCATGGCGCCAAAGCAACTGACCTCTTCCTCCTCGAAGCCCGTGAGGTCCCAGCGGTAGTTGAGCCTCATCTGCTTCCGCTTCCAGTGCTCCATGAAGGTGGCAGCTGTGGGGGCAAAACCAGAGTCCCTGATGACATAAAAGCATTCTTTTTCTTTTTTTTTTTCTGAGACCGAGTTTTGCTCTTGTTGCCCAGGCTGGAGTGCAATGGCATGATCTCATCTCACTGCAACATCTGCCTCCCAGGTTCAAGCAATTCTCCTGCCTCAGCCTCCCTAGAAGTTGGGATTACAGGCACGTGCCACCACACCTCACTAATTTTTGTATTTTTAGTAGAGACGGGGGCTTCACCGTGTTGGTCAGGCTGGTCTCTATCTCCTGACCTCAGGTGATCTGCCCGCCTCGGCCTCCCAAAGTACTGGGATTTCAGGCGTGAGCCACCATGCCCGGCCGGCATTCTTTTATCAGTGTTTGGCGAGCAAGGGTGATATATTGGGGTAAAAACTTCATGGGAATTCACACGTTCAGCCCTCCCACCAATCCTGTGGGGCAGAAACCATCATTCTCTCCTTTTACAGATGAGGAAACTGAGGCATAGGACACTCAAGTCCCGGCTGAGGTTACCCAGCCAGTTAGTGAGGGGTGGGGAGCCTGGCCCAGAGCCTGTGCCTCAACCCTCCTGTACCATTGCTCTCGGCGATCCTGGTTCGGAGGTCAGGAGGAATGAGGGGTGAGCCAAGGCCACTCACTCACTTGGGCTTCAAACCACCCCAGGGGTCTGCCTGTACTGGCACCTGCTGCATTAAGCTTCATATTCCCAACAGACACAGCATGGTTCAAATGCTGCCTTCTCCAGGGAGCCACTGATTATTCCCCTCAGTGTAAGAAAAACCCAGCGCCTCTTGGGACCTTCCTCAGCCTGCGTCTGTCTCGCTCATGGTGTCAATGCTGCCTTCCATCGGGATCCCTGTCTCGTGACTTGTGTGTGGGGCAGGAATGGGGCTTCGTTCTCCCGGATCCTCAGCTCCCAGAGGTGCTTGGCACAGACAGCTGCTCGAGTGTGCACTGAATGAGTGACTTTTGCAAGCGCACAGCTTGCAAAAGAAGAGGCCCTGACTGGACTGTTTATCATGAATGCTTCTCCCTGCAAAAGAAAATCAGCAGAGGCTGAGGGGCAGAGTGACAGGATGGTCACAGAGTTCCCTGGAGCTCACGATTCTCCAGCTGTTCCATCCACGCCAGGCACTGTTGGGAGCTTGTCAATCTACAGACCACCTCCAGCACCGGGCTCTTGCATCTGCCTGAAGACGCTCAGTACACATTTCAGGGCAAGAATACCAGAGTTCAATACCAGCCACAGAGCTCTGTAACCTCGGGCAAGTTCCTTAGCCTCTCTTGCCTCTGTTTCCTCATCCATAAAATAGCACCTTCTAATAATCAGACTTGGAGTAGCAGTGAGGGAGTATCAATGTCATCTAAGCCTCACCGTGATCACGGGAGGTAGGTGCTAGTCCCCTTGCCCCCGTTTTACAGAGGGGGAAACTGAGGCTCAGAGGGATGAAATAGCTTATCTGAGAAGCAGCAGCACTGATGTGCAAACAAAATGGGCCGTGGACTGTGAGCATGCGGGGTGAATTCACAAATGTGGTCCTTGATGGAAAGCAATGTGGTCAGAAAGAACGCAAGTCTCGGGTGTGAACCTGGTTCAGAGCGCGTTAGTCTACGTGTGACAAAGCTCTTCCCATTAAGGTGAGGTGGGAATGGGGCTTCCGAGCGTGCACAGGTTTGTCTAGGAGGCACCCACTGAAAGAGTTAGCTACCGTGTCAGCCGGCCCAGCCTGGAAATAGGACACGCCCCCAACCCCGTGCAGGGCTTTCACACTGGGGTGATTTAATCCTGGGACTTGCTCGCACAGGCAGTGGAAGAGCTGACAAGCCACTCGGGGATGCTGGGACCACCCAGAGATGACCCACAGTAGAAGCTGGCATCTGTTTCAGGGTGGCAGGACAGTAGAAGGTGCCCAGTGTCAATACTGAAACCAGAAATTGGAGCCGCTCAGAAGCAGCTGCGATCATGGAGGAAGAGGGGCTTCCCAGGGGAGGCAGAGCCCAGAGAAGACGTTGGCCAGGCTGGCCTTGACATTTCTGATGTCCCAGCAGAGGGAGATGGGGAGAAATGTCTCGGCTGCTCCCCTTCCTCCCGCCTTCTGAGCTCCCAAAAGGGCTTCCCACTGGCTGAGAAGAGGGAGGGCCAGGGAGCCTGGGGATGCCAAGATGCAGACCTGAGCAGGTGAGGGACGACTATCCCTTAAACACCTGCTGGAAACCCGGCCACTCAGCAGACACGCACTGAGTGCTAAGGCTGCAGGTGAGGAGGGCTGCAGGGAGCTCAGGAGGAGGCCCTCAGTCCCCAGGGCCCCTGACCCTTAGGAGGCCGACAGTGAGGGCAGTCTGTCTGCGGTGGGCACCCTCCCCAGGAGGCAATGCAGGGAGGTCTCCGCCCCTTCAAAGATGTCCTTTGTCCGCTGCCTCTGCTCTGGAGCAATGTGGGAGGCCAGCTGTCCCCCGGCCTCTGCCTGGTCTGCAAGGCCCCGGACGGCGCCTTCCCCAAGCTTTGAAAGCTGCCTCTCTCTGTCCTCCTCTGCCCGCCCAGGGCAACAGCGCTCTGTTACGACTCTTTTTTGGGCTGAGCACTGCCCGGGAGGGCTGGCTGCACGCACACCTGCAGAGTCGGCCCGTTTACCTGCTGTGATGGTTAGCATTGAGTGTCAACTTGATTGGATTGAAGGATGCCAAGTATTGTTTCTGGGTGTGTCTGTGAGGGTGTTGCTAGAGGGGATTAACATTTGAGTCAGCGGAGGGGGAGAGGCGGACCCACCCCTAACCTGGGTGAGTACCATCCCGTCTGCTGCCAGCGCAGCTGGAAAAAGCAGTGGGAGGAGGTGGAAGAGCACACTTGCTGAGTCTTCCCGCCTCATCTTTCTCCCGTGCTAGATGCTTCCTGCCCTTGAACCTCTGACTCCAGGTTCCTCAGCTTCTGGACGTCTGGCCTTCCACCAGCGTTCTGCCAGGGGCTCTCAGGCCTCTGGCCACAGACTGAAGGCCGCACTGTCAGCTTCCCGACTTTCGAGGTTTGGGGACTCAGACTGATCCACCACTGGTTTCCCGGCTCCTCGAGTTGCAGACGGCCTGTCATGGGCTTGACCTTGTGATGGCGTGAGTCGATCCTCCTGAATAAACTCCCTTCCATGCGTACGATAGAGCCTATTCGTTCTGTCCCTCTGGAGAGCCCTGACTCAAGTGCACCTTCCCTGTCCCGGCCTCCCCAGCTCCTCCCCTTTCCCAGGCTTGTCTTCCATACGACACTTACCCCATTGCCACCCGGGCTCTGCCCTCTCTGCACTCGCCAGCCTGCAGCATAACAACAGTTAACAAGGACGTATCTTCGGGCTGGCCTTTTACAGACGTCAGTCAACCTCATCCTCACAACGACCGACTGCAGGTAGGAGGGATGATGCCCATTCATAGGTTTACAAAGCTGACACCATTCACAACCCTGACATTCAGAGGCCAGAGTGCTGTGCCTGGGGCCAGCTGCAGCAGAACAGCAGCGCTGGATGTGAACTCATCCTATTTGACTCCAGTCTGCATGGACCCATGATGCTGGACCGACTCTCTGTGCAGATATTTTGTTCTCCTCAAGGAAATAATGGCTGTGGTTGTCAAAAGTCTGATTATTAGAGTGTACCATCTTACAGATGGAGAAATGGGGGCACAGAGAGGTTAAGTAACTTGCTTAAAGTCACAGAGCTTGGTGGCTGGTATTCCTTTCTTTCTTTCTTTCTTTCTCTTTTTTTTTTTGAGATGCAGTCTCGCTCTGTTGCCCAGGCTGGAGTGCAGTGGTTTGATCTCAGCTCACTGCAGAGGCCTCTCGAGTTCAGGTAATTCTCCGGCCTCCCAAGTAGCTAGGACTATAGGTGCGTGCCACCAAGCCTGGATAATTTTTGTATTTTTAGTAGAGATAGGGTTTGACCACATTGGCCCAGCTGGTCTTGAACTTCTGAGCTCAAGTAATCTGCCCTCCTCGGCCTCCCAAAGTGCTGGATTATAGTCGTGAGTCGCCACACCTGGCCTTGAACCCTGCTCTAAAATTTGTACTGTGTCTTCAGACAGAAGCAAGGAGCATGTCCTGGAGGTGTCTGTAGATTGACCAGGACTCAGGCTGGAGCCTAGAACAGAACCTGTGGCTGGGGTTGGGATGGACGGTAGAGGGGATACAAAGATGAGGTTTGTTTGGCTCAGCTATGTTTAAAAAATAAAGACATTTGACATAAAAATTATGCCTTTCCAAGGCAGAAGCACGCCAGCAGAAGGATGGAGCTGAGCAACAATCATCCCTTTGTCAAAACGTGGGCATGCCTTTTCCGCGTGGCCACAGACCCCACCATGCCCTATTATCTGGCTTCTGTGGGCACTGGGCGTGGGGGTGGAGCAGTGGAGTCAGGCTTGGCCAGCAGGAAGGGAGATGTGAAGGCTCATGCTGTGCCTGGTGGGCAGCCCTCAAAGCTGGCATCAGGCTTGGCATGAAGAACCACCTTCCAGCGGGCTGAATGAAGGCAGGAAGAACCGTGAGCACCATCCTTCTCAAGAGTGCTCCTGTGGCCCTCCCTGCTCACCCACACATGGTTCCCATTCCTGCCCTCTGAGGCTCCCGATCCTGGCCCTCCTTGCCCATGTGCCAACCACATCACACAAATGCTGCATAATATCCAGCCGCCATCAGGCGCTAGCATGGGGCTCTCCCATGTCTGGTCCCCTCGGATCCTGCCCTGGCCCCTTCAACGCGGGGACAACATGCTCCATTTTACAGACACGGAGCTGAGGTTCTGAAATGTCAGGGGACTCATCAAGGAAGGGCAGAAACCTCGACCCGGGCCTTCCAATGCCCACATCAGCCAGCCTCAGGGACAGGGCTTCCCATCCACGAGTGTACAACAAAGAAACAGCGAGAGACGGCCTTGAGCGCAGCAGCCTTACAAGGTGGCCAAAGGGAGGAGCCCATCCCCCTGAAATGGGGAGCCCAGGAGTCAGCACAGCACACAGCAC